AGGCTATATACAGGGGGTACCGGTACAGAGTCAATGTGCGGGGGCGCAGGTTAGTCGAGGTAATTCAAGTAATATGTACATGTAGGTAGAGTTAAAGTGACTATACATAGATAATAAACAGAGAGTAGCAGCAGCGTAAAAGAGGGAGCGGGGGAACAATGCAAATAGTCCGAGTAGCCATTTGATTAGCTGTTCAGGAGTCTTATCGCTTGGGGGTAGAAGCTGTTAAGAAGCCTTTCAGACCTAGACTTGGCGCTCCGGTACCGCTTGCCGTGTGGTAGCAGAGAGAACAGTCTATGACTAGGGTGGCTGGAGTCTGACAATTTTTAGGGCCTTCCTCTGACACAGCCTGGTATAGAGGTCCTGGATGGCAGGAAGCTTGGCCCCAGTGATGTATTGGGCCGTACGCACTACCCTCTGTAATCAACCAAAGCTTGAAACCCTAGGCCTATATGTATTGTCTATTTTTAGTTGAACCCTAGGTTGAATTGGAACAATACAGTAGCTGTTGATGACTTCGCAAATGTTATATATGGGCCTAAATAGTATCATTGATGATTTGACAAAGTATGGTTACATTTTATTTTATTTGCTCTCTTAAACCTAGTTAACCTACCCTTTGGAATTACTTCAATAGCAACAATGAATCTATTTAGTTATTAAGAGATCTCTCAATGAACATTCTCAAGATAGTAGTTAGTGACAAAAACCAAAGCTAAGCAGGGCTGGGCATGGATAAAACCCTGGATGGGAGGCTGAATGGATAGCTGTAGATGGATCTACTTTCCAGTAGGCAGTGCTGACTATAGTTTTTTTTTCTGATGGTGGCTATAACGTTGAAGATCTGACGTTGTCTCGAAGGTACAAATTCCGTGGTTGTCATTTTCAAATCCAATGTATTTTCCACATAGATTCCACGTCACAATACGTTGACAAATTATGTTGAAACAGCGATTCAACCAGTCTGTGCCCAGTAGGTTTTGTGTTAACTGGATTTGCAGTGAGAGGGAGCAGATTGAGTACCATGGCATAATAGTTTGAAGCCTACTTCACAAATAATATGTCAGAGTCAGTGTGGTAGTGTTGACAAAACACCTGGAACTACAAGATAAAGGATAAAATGTGTCGCCACTGGAAAAATACTTGGAAATGCATCAAATGAAATGTCACACCCTGACCAGAATTCAGTAGGCTACACCATAAAGCTTGAGTATGATTACAATACAGTTATTAATCTTTGCGTATTTACACTACCAGTCAAAAGTTTGGACACACCTACTCATTCAAGGGTTTTTCTTTATTTGTACTATTTTTTACATTGCAGAATAATAGTGAAGACATCAAACTATGAAGTAACACATATGGAATCATGTAGTAACCAAAAAAGTGTTAAACAAATCAAAATATATTTTATATTTGAGATTCTTCAAATACCCACCCTTTGCCTTGATGACAGCTTTGCACACTCTTGGCATTCTCTCAACCAGCTTCATGAGGTAGTCACCTGGAATGCATTTAAATTAACAGGTGTGCCTTCTTAAAAGTTAATTTGTGGAATTGATTTCCTTCTTAATGTGTTTGAGCCAATCAGTTGTGTTGTGACAAGGTAGTGGGGGTATACAGAAGATAGCCCTATTTGGTAAAATACCAAGTCTATATCATGGCAAGAACAGCTCAAATAAGCAAAGAGAAATGACAGTCCATCATTACTTTAAGACATGAAGGTCAGTCAATATGGAACATTTCAATAACTTTTAAAGTTTCTTCAAGTGCAGTCGCAAAAACCATCAAGCGCTATAATGAAACTGGCTCTCATGTGGACCGCCACAGGAATGGAAGACCCAGAGCTACCTCTGCTGCAGAGGATAAGTTCATTAGACTTAACAGCCTCAGAAATTGGAGCCCAAACAAATGCTTCACAGAGTTCAAGTCACAGACACATCTCAACATCAACTGTTCAGAGGGGACTGTGAATCAGGCCTTCATGGTCGAATTACTACAAAGAAACCACTACTAAAGGACACCAGTAAGAAGAAGAGACCTGCTTGGCCCAAGAAACACGACCAATGGACATTAGACTAGTGTAAATTTGTCCTTTGATCTGGAGTCCAAATTTGAGATTTTTGGTTCCAACCGGTGTGTCTTAGTGAAACGCGGTGTGGGTGAACAGATGATCTCCGCATGTGTAGTTCCCACCGTAAAGCATGGAGGAGGAGGTGTTATGGTGTGGGGGTGCTTTGCTGGTGACACTGTCTGTGAATTATTTCGAATTCAAGGCACACCTAACCAGCATGGCTACCACAGCATTCTGCAGCGATACGCCATCCCATCTGGTTTGGGTTTAGTGGGACTATCATTTGTTTTTCAACAGGACAATGACCCAACACACCTCCAGGCTGTGTAAGGGCTATTTGACCAGGGGCGGCAGGTAGCTTAGCGGTTAAGAGCGTTGTGCCGGTAACCGAAAGGTCGCTGGTTCTAATCCCCGAGCCGACTAGGTGAAAAATCTGTCGATGTGCCCTTGAGCAAGGCACTTAACCCTAATTGCTCCTGTAAGTCGCTCTGGATAAGAGCGTCTGCTAAATGACTAAAATGTAATGTAAATATGACCAAGAAGGAGAGTGATGGAGTGCTGCATCAGATGACCTGGCCTCCACAATCCCCCGACCTCAACCCAATTGAGATAGTTTGGGATGAGTCGGACGGCAGAGTGAAGGAAAAGCAGCCAACAAGTGCTCAGCATATGTGGGAACTCCTTCAAGACTGGAAAAGCATTCCAGGTGAAGCTGGTTGAGATAATGCCAAGAGTGTGCAAAGCTGTCATAAAGGCAAAGGGTGGCTATTTGAAGAATCTCAAATATAAAATATATTTTGATTTGTTTAACACTTTTCTGGTTACTACATGATTCCATATGTGTTATTTCATAGTTTTGATGTCTTCACTATTATTCTACAATGTAGAAAATAGTCAAAATAAAGAAAAAACCTTGAATGAGTAGGTGTGTCCAAACTTTTGACTGGTACTGTATGTGCGACTGTTGGCTGTCTTTTGTGTCCAAACCATGAGAGAATTGCTATTTTCCTGAGTTATGTAATTCCTTGTGCTCCCTGAACTGTAAACACATTGAGATGATGGGAAATGCTACTCTTAAGGTTGCCTGGCTGTCATCCAAGACCTTTTGCGGCCAACTACTGTGCTCAACCACGCTGTCTCCAGAGGAGTTGCGACACAGGAAACGGGAATTATTCTTGTTTTTGCTCCTGATTTAGATAAGTGTGTATAGGCCTATGTGGATATATAGAGAGAAACTGAAAGCTCTATGTGATGTTAATTTAATAGAACACATTTGAACATTAACAATTGAACAAAATAAAAATGTGAACTGGACTGTGACACTATTTGAGGTGTACGTGGGCCAAGGCTGGGTCACTGCAGCGTAGTGCATCCACTACAAAAGCTGTAGTAGAAGTATGTAGATTTCCCACTGCAGTGGTTTAGCCCCATTCTAATGCTGCAGTATCCCTGGTTTTAGATTTCACTGGATTTCTACAGTACCCCTCCGCCCCACCCCCTACCCCCACCTCCTCTTTCCGTTGCACAGTATCTTGTGAAAGCTTATTCTTAAAGCATATTCTATCATCATGGGAGAGTAAAAATAGCAAGTTCTCACTAATGATGTTTGTTTCCTTTTTTAACAGTGACATTTTTTTAAAACTTCTGTGCTGTCATTGTCACTGAGCCTCAGTGAAGTGAATGTATCTGGTTCCAGATAATGAGCTTATCTCATTTGAAAGGTACAGGCACATTGTCATCTGAGGGCAGCGGAGACTCCTCTGATTCTAATATAAAACGTTTCCTATCCTCAGATGAGTCGCAAAGACAGACAGCAGCCTAGCATTGAGGTCAAAACAACATGATGTGTTCCCCTTGCTTTCAAATAGCTGCCAACAAAGAGCTGTTGACTGCCAGTGTCAGAGAGGTCTTGTCTGTGGACTTAACTTTGTTTGTGTGGACTAAATACTTGTATATCTGAGCTTCTAAAAGCCATACCATGTCACCCCTTTCCTCATCTCTCCACACAAGCTCACAGTTATTGTTGGCTTCAGATTCAAAGCCATTGTGCTTGTCTTTGAGGCAGTGAGGGTTACCAGTCCTCTCTACCTGCTGGCAATGATAAGACCACACAACCGGCCAGGCTCTGTTACCTCTGGTCTCCTGGAATCTCCCCCATGAGGACTCAGTGTATGGTCCACCTGGTTCTGTTATGACCCCTCAGAATCAACTGTACATGTGTTGGAACAGCAGAGCTGCTGCTTATCCTCATCCACTTGTGCTATTAGCCTAAAGCATGTTTTCTCTTCATCCTGTGTTGTGTTGCTTTAATTTTTCTTATTTACTTTATTGAATTATTGTTCAATTCAATTATTCTTCTTGATCCTTATTAGACTTCTGTGAGTTTCCCCCCTGAAGTTTGTGTTGGTAGAAGTCTTGAGACACCCAAGGCTGATAGTGCAACTATGCACTTCTCTCATCATGCTTGTGAGAGAGAGCTACAGGAGTGACAGCGATGGGGCCAGTGAACAATCGAGCTCAGAGTGCATGGGGATTTGGATTGACAGGTGCACAGGAGCCAAGAGGAGAGACTAGTCTCTACTGAGATACATTACAAAGTAGTTATCATACTGTTAAGACCTCTCTTACTTAATGATTTGTGTTTTTTTTACTATTATCAATGATTACAGTAGCCTAGGCCTATAATGAAATTAAGACATTTTAATTGCAAACTGGCACAGGCCAATAGAACCACCATACAGTGTCTATGTTCCTCATGTTAATATTTCTGGTCCGGTGATTGTAACTATATTTTGATGAGCAAGCATCACGAGGTTAGGACACCCAGTTTAAAGCTAGGAACCATAAATGATGAGCCCCCAATGAGTGCCTGTGGTATGTAACTCTATGCACGAAGCACCGCCCAGGTTTTTGCTCCCCACTACGCAGGGAGAGTTGCAGCAGTAGCATTCTACAGTGGCTACGTTACCATCACAATTTTTAGTGCATGCAAATACCCCCTACCTGCTAATGCAAAACGGCATTCAAGTCGGCAAATCGGGAAACTAGCAGACGACGGGTGTCAGAGTGGAAGGGGAACTAACGGTGCAGACTCTGATGATGATGAGGATGATGATGGTGAGGATGATGATTCTGTAAGAGAGTTATAAGCATGAATACAATATTATGTGAAAGAGGAGGTAGCTAGAGATAATACCTGAAATGTTTCCTTACGTTATGAACAGTCACAAAATGTTGGTGTACAACAATATGCTACTTAACCGATTTAATTTTGCAGAGCTCATGCTCTGCATTATGACCTTGGATATGAAAGTGAACATTTGCATGGTCGTAATCATCGTTATGTGATGCTTATGTTTGTGTGGTTGGTGGTTGCTGATACACTCAGTGCGCGTTTGGATAATCACAGCCCGCACTCAAGTACGCACGGCGTGCAGTTGAGGCGAGGAAGTGGGAGCGAATGCGTGTTCTTATGGAGGGACACACTAGGCTTCAACATGGCCTCATCACGATATGAATGGCGCTGGTATTTTCTATATTACCATATCTTGTTTGTGGTTTACATTTTCTTTAACATGTCGGCCATCAGTGGCATATGGCAGTCGCGGGCGCCAGATAGATTGTTAGGAACGGTTCCTTGCCTCGGGGTTCTCGTGGTAAATTTATTTTATTGGCATGTTGTGTGGGAGAGGCAATGTTTTTCAGTAAAAGCCTGTTCTGTTGATTACTTGGCGTTGGGGATATGGTGGTCGTTTGAAATAAATGTGGCCTTTTCACAGAATCTTCTTGATCTGGTAGGATTGAAAGGATGCAACTCTACCTGCGCTAGAATGATATATTTAAATAGAATAACGGTATTCTTCAGGCTGTAGATTGCATTTTGTAGGCTACTGACCATGTCATTTGTGTCTCAGCGCTAACGTTAGTGGGCGCAATGCAAAAAACAGCATTATCTAGCCTACTGTAAACGAGCTATACAGTAGCCTAATAATATAATGTATTATCGAATGTAGAGTTATTTTGTTTTTAAATATTGACCTATGTTGTAATGGTTTAACATTGATATTAAAGTAGTTTTTTATGTATATACTTCCATGCTTCCACTGTAGGCCTATCTCACTGTAGGCCCCGTGGTGCCACATAATGTTGTATTTTATGACGTAGCCTATAGGATATCTCGAAACATTGCTTTTAGTGAATGCGAATTGGTAGGCCTAAATAGTATGACGAATGGTTATATGGATATAATATTTTTATGTAGACCTAATATAATGCAGTTTGCGTTTTCATAGTGACAATTCTACAGATGCTATGAATGTAACAGCATGTTTTTGTTTTTTGTGTGTGTGTGTTTGCAACTTAATGCATAGACCTACTGTTTCCCTGTTGTATTGAATGCTTCAGTGCTGTTCATATCACATGGTCCCAGTTAAATAAATGGTGATGCATTGAGTCTCACAGGAGATAAAATAGCTGTATTGCAAGGGGAATGCTCTGCTCTAGTGTAATAACAGTATTACTGTCAGTAGGCCTATGCAGACATTATTTAAAAAAGACAGGGTTATTCATTAGTTGTATTATGAGGAAGCCAAATACAGGTTGTCATATCAAAACAGGGGTGTGCATATTTAATGCAGGCAGGGGTGCATTCACATGGAGATGCATGTGGAGCTAAAAATACCCCTTTCTGTTCTTGAGCATGTGAGTTATAGTGGAGAGTGAGCTCTCTTGCCACATTTATCAGGGGACATGTTGACTTGTTAATTAGTATATTACTGTGAGGGATTACTATCTGTTTTCATCCTGTTGTATCTCTCATCGTTTGAGCTATCACCTTTTTTCGTTTCACTCATGATGTTATTAGGATATCAGGTGGAGCTCAGGCAGGGCACCTGTGGTCTATTGCATAAATCTTTGTTTAAATAAATGTTAATTATGTTAATACATAAAGTCAGTTGGCCCTCTGTAACCTGGAATAGGTAATGACATTAAAGTGTGAAGGAGGGTAGGTCAATTTGAATTTTTCTCTACGTAATATATTGGAGAAACGCTGTTGAGTAAAACATCAATTATGCCAAAGTTTGTTATTTTCTTTTGGATTATGAGAAAAACAGTCACTCCAAGCAGAGCAACTACAGCTATGTTTTAGGGATTTATCGGCCAGTCGATAGTGCAGCTCAGCTGTGTAATCTGGGTCACGGCACCAATGTAGCATCTACCAGTCTGCACCCTGTTTCAGTATGGTGCTCCTGCTCCCTACAGCCTGCTTCACACTCCAGCCAACTACACAAAGCACTAGCCAACTACACAAAGCTCTAGCCAACTACACAATGCTCTCTAGAGCAATAGGCTAGCAATAGTTTATGTTCATATTCAGGTTTTTACACTTTAATGTTGAGACAAGAAGATATTTGGTTGACTGACTCCTTTTGGGCTTATTTAACTGCTTTTTGTAGTAGTGTGACTGACCCATATACTACTGATCATCTTATGTAACATTGATATTTTACACAGGGGAGAAGTGTCTTATGTACAGTAACTCTGTCTTAGACAGAATAAGGCCAATTACAGATTTTGCCCACAAATCCAGGGCCATTTTATGAGAGGGAGGGGCTAGACAAAAAGTGGCACAGGTGTAATGAAATATTTAAGTCCCTGTGGGTGATGCAATTAATAGGGTTGTCAAACTGTGAACTTGTTTTGTTTGACCTGGCTTTTACAATGGCAATACAGATGGGGAAATATAAACGCAATCATTCCTCTTCAAGATACTTTTTTGGAACAGTTTTAGATTTCCCCACTTTAATGCCTAAACCCAGATTGAGATTGATAATATGTAGAAGGAGGTATTCCCTGAGGGTGGACAGACATAGGCATGTGTCTGTTAGGGTATCATCCTTGAGTCATCTCTACCCACTACTGGATGTTATACTTAATCATAATTTAGAGACCAGTGTCTATCTGTGGTATGAGGTCTTTGGGGGATCGACATTTGGGTGTCTTTTAGTTAGTGTTGGAATGGATAGGGATGGGAACAGTTGGTTGTGTTTGGCTGGACATACAGTATATGGGTGGATTTAATATTGGAGAAGATTAGAGCAAATCTGAACAAATGGGAAAGATCAAGTCATCCACCATTGCCTATCACTTTGGCATTGATTATAACGCCTCATGTGTTAGGTTAATTTCACTGAATCAAAGATGTTTAACTCTTTATAATGCTGGTCATTTGTCAAATAAAAGTGAATAGGTAGATAAATTGGTTAGAAACTCAGATATTGTCACCAAGACTTCATAGTGCCCTCCTGCCCTTGTAAAAGTAATAATGAGCCCTTACCCTCATCTCTCCCCTCACCCCTCATCCCCATTTCCCCTCTCCTCTCTTCTCTCTCACTTCCCTTCCCTTCTCTCCCCTACCCCAACCCCTCTCTCTCCTCACCCCTCACCCCTCACCCCTCACCCCTCACCCCTCACCCCTCTCCCCTCTCCCACAGTTGATCAGTGGGGGATCCATCGTCAGCGCTGAGGCAGTATGGGATCATGTCACCATGGCCGACAGGGAGTTGGCATTTAAGGCAGGGGATGTCATCAAGGTCCTCGATGCATCAAATAAGGACTGGTGGTGGGGACAGATTGATGATGAAGAAGGATGGTTCCCAGCCAGCTTTGTGAGGGTGAGTGGAGCCATCAACGATTTTCTCATTCCCTGCTGCACCGTGTCTTGCCCCTCAACAAGTACACTAGGGTTTACCACCTATTCTCAATGCTGCGATGGATTATCCTTTGCCATTGCGTTATCATTGATAATTATCATTGATTGACTGCCCTGTTTTGAGGGCAGATATTTTAGGCTTGGATGATGATGATGATATTTTGATATTGATCAAAATATGATTATGCCATGCTAATCTCACAGGAACTAAAAATATTTACTAGTCTCCAATTGAAATACTGTGAAAAGAAGAAGACTTCAGAAAAGTGAGGAGTTAATACTTTGCTGGGTTATCACTACTAGCCTTCTCCATCTGCCAACTGTAAAAATGAGTCTGAACGAGGTATGTCATGTTTTTCTCTCCAAAGGTTGAACCCCATCCACCACAACCTCAAACAAAACAGGTTTTCTATATCAACCCTATAGCAGCTCCAAGGTTCCAAAACACAACTACCAAGGTGCGTTTAATAGTTTCAGCAAGTATTTCAAAGCAGCTGTTTTAACTAGCATCTCACTGCACATTGGACCACCCCATATCTAACATCCTGTCGCTTTATACTACTGCTTCCATTTGCAGACATCACCATGCTTCGAGTGTCAAGCTTGTAATAGCATTACGGTCAAACTATGGTATCTCAAACAACACTCTCTTTCTCACTCTCACTCCCTCTCACTTACTCTCTTTTTCTCAGTATCTGCTCTCTCACTCAACTGAAAAGCGAGCACTGAGGCACTGATTCATCTCAGATCTGAATGATGAAACATGTATGACCAACCTTTTAGCAGAGTACAGAGCATATCAAACAGGTGGATAAAACGAACAAGGCTTGATGAGTGACTCAAATAAAAGCTATTTAATGGTTATTTTATGTAACCGGATTTGTTGTCATGTTGGAAGTTATTTTCAGGAACATACATTTTCTAAAATCTTAAGAGCATTTCTGGATTATTGCACCTATCCTATGAATTGACCATACAGCTTTTGTCCACTGGTCCAAGGAAACAGAGAGAGTGGGCTCTAAATAGACACCCGTGGACAATGTACTCAGACTGCAATATACCGTGTACACATAATACCATCAAGCACTGAGACCTGATGTCTGGAAAATATGACTTACAGCACAGGTCATATGTGACTTCTGCATGGCCACATGCATATTTAAAATCAATCTCAGAAGGGTCCCATGACTCTATGTCCAGGATGTTATGGTGGGGTCTAGTGTTTCTAACATAGATTGGCACATGTCAGAGGTGCTTTATACCCATCTTCTCTATGTGCAGTCTCTCAAAGTGTGGTTCGTTACCCAAGTAGTGATGAAGGACAAAGGGTTAGGCCTAAAACAGCACAACCAATATCTGACTTAAACAGTAGCTGTTCTCATAGGTTTAATGACCACAACTACTTCATATTTGCAAACAAACAGTCAGATACAGTGGGGTCCGAAATTATTGATACCCTTGATAAAGATGAGCAATAATGACTATGAAATAAATAATTAAAATACTGAGCTAAAAATTATATTATTTTATACTAATGCAATTGCTCAGAGAAATAGATATTGTTTAAGAAGTAGTATTGTTTTTTCTCAAAAAGGTAGGGGTAATAATTATTGACACACCGTAAAGATTCTTATAAATAAAGTAGTCAAAAGTTTAGTATTTGGTCCCATATTCCTAGCACGCAATGACTTCATTAAGCCTCCACTCTTCTGGGAAGGCTTTCCACTAGATGTTGGAACATTGCTGCGGGGACTTGCTTCCATTCAGCCACAAGAGCATTAGTGAGGTCGGGCACTGATGTTGGGCGATTAGGCCTGGCTCGCAGTCGGCGTTCCAATTCATCCCAAAGGTGTTCGATGGGGTTGAGGTCAGGGCTCGGTGCAGGCCAGTCAAGTTCTTCCACACCGATCTCGACAAACCATTTCTGTATGGACCTCGCTTTGTGCACAGGGGCATTGTCATGCCTAAACAGGAAAGGGCCTTCCCCAAACTGTTGCCACAAAGTTGTAAGCACCACTCCAGCCGACGCTTGGCATTGCACATGGTGATCTTAGGCTTGTGTGCGGCTGCTTGGCCATGGAAACCCATTTCATGAAGCTCCCGACTAACAGTTATTGTGCTGACGTTGCTTCCAGAGGCAGTTTGGAACTCGGTAGTGAGTGTTGCAACTAAGGACAGACGATTTTTACGCGCTACTCTCTTCAGCACTTGGTGGTCCTGTTCTGTGAGCTTGTGTGGCCTACCACTTCGCGGCTGAGACATTGTTGCTCCTAGATGTTTCCACTTCACAATAACAGCACTTACAGTTGACCGTGGGCAGCTCTAGCAGCGCAGAAATTTGACGAACGGACTTTTTGGAAAGGTGACATTCTATGACGGTGCCACGTTGAAAGTCACTGAGTTCATTAGTAAGGCCATTTTTATTTTATTTTTTATTTATTATTCAACATTCTACTGCCAATGTTTGTCTATGGAGATTGCATGGCTGTGTGCTCGATTTTATACACCTGTCAGCAACAGGTGTGGCTGAAATAGCCGAATCCACTAATTTAAAGGGGTTTCCACGTACTTTTGTATATATAGTGTACCTCCAAGACATGCTAACTTCTCACCATTACCAATAACAGGGGAGGTTACAATGTCTTGGGGGTATGATCTTTCTCTGAGCAATTGTATTAGTATAAAATAATATAATTTCCCAATTTTTTTGAACATACAATATAGCTCAGTATTTGAGTTATTTATTTTATACAGTCATTATTGCTCATCTTTATCAAGGGTGTCAATAATTTCGGACCCCACTATCTGTCGTTACGATTGAGCAAAACTCTGGAGTAAATGCTTCAGCCTCATCTTTTTTTTATTTGACTGAATCTACCAACTGATCTCATCATCTCATCTTACTCAGTGATTACTAGAGTTTATCTGTTTGATTTTCTTTATGTGACAAGAAATTATAAGCTAATTCTATGGGAAAATAGTACCTATATATCCTAGAGGGAAATGTGCCCATTAACAATACAGTTGCATCATGGCTGGCTTTGTAATGTTTATTTTTCCTGAAAAACATAATGATTGTGTAGATGTGTATTAGGAGTCAGCTACCTACCCCGTGTCCTCTGGCAAGGTTGCTAAAATTAGTTCCCTTTGAGGATTACACAAAGTGACAGTTCATTCCTTGAGATGCCTTCAAGCAACCGATGCACTAATGCACACAACTCCTGCAACTCCCTCAACTAGGAGGTATCAGATTTTAATAAAACAATGAATACTGCATAGATGGACATCCTATTCATTGTTTCATGGTTTTATCCCTTTTGTAATACAATGTTATTTCTTGACCGTGTGTATGAGCCTTCCAATTATAATGTGGGGAGGTCAAAATAATGAAAAACTATCAACCAAATCTATTCATTTTAAAATGTTGATTACTTCTCCTTTCCATTATCATTCACCTGAAGATAAGACAAGACGTGAACAAAAGACGTATGATGGGGGTCCCAGGGTCGCCGTTTTTTTAAAGCTAAATCAATGTCTCGCAAGATCACTGAATGATTAATTAGTATTCTACATAGGCCTAACATACCAAATATAATAGCATAGTATAACGTCACAATTAGACCAAAAATACCACTTAATTTCTTATGTAGACTACACTTGCATGTTTTATATGCATTATGATAATCATCCACTTCGTCACATATGTGTTATTTGAATCGAGCATCAAGGACCAGCAGTGAACAGTTTTTTCCTTAACAAAAAAGCTTGACACAAGGGGGCCTCAAACCCACTGTTACTGTATCCTGCAGATTCACAGTTCACTGGTAAATGCTACCTGGCAGCGATAATAATGGAGGTACATGGCACCTATTTGACAAGACCATTTTTTAAAATGATGTATGATACACTTAAATGTTGTATAGACCTCCTTTTTCCCGTAAAAGCACATGGATATGTGTGAAAAACGTGGGATTTTGTCATATATGCGAAAAATCTGCATCATGCAATATTTGCACACTACAATTGTGACAGACTAAGTGGAACAAAAGTAAACCTTGAATTTGGAGGTTTAAAATATCCCTCTGGTGGCCAGGGTTGACCTATTTAAAGAAATGCCATTGGTTGGTGGATATAAAGTATAAGATCTTTGATAGGCTGATGCGGAATTTGTTACAGGAAATAATCACCAGCCAGCTGGTCAGGTTAGCATAGGGCTAAATGTGGCAGGTTATCTTATGGGAACTGCTATACATTTAGCGTTGTATCAAGTGCAACTATGTAGATTATTTTAATTGGCTAATGCGCATTTTGAGACTGAGAAAGGTTTATGCTTGTGTGGACCCATATTGTTCATTAGATTAAGTTATAACATGTTATATCCCTATCAATTTGCAGTGTTGGGGAAGCTACTCGGAAAATATAGTTTACCAAGCTACCAATTAAACACAAAAGCTCTGTTTCAAGTGAGAATTTGGCAGGTCTGATGCTAAAAAATAAAGGAAATTATTGTCTACTTCACCCTTTCTTTTTTTGCAGAAAAAAATTTGTGTAGTTCCCGTAGTTTTCTACACCGCGACATGGCAAAAAAGTAATGAAGTACTGAAAAGACTACCAAGATTTGAATTGAGCAACTACCACTAAGCTACTGCAAAATGTAGTTAAATTACTAGTTGAACTACATGTAGTTCACTACTCCCCAACACTGGAAACAGCCACTGTTGAAACACAGGGATTGTGCAGTGCAGTCTATCAACTGTCCCATTTATCAGGAGCAAAGCGCTGTTTTAAATTCCCTGTGTCACTGCCTTACATATTGTGAGCGCTCATGCTTAAAGCTCTATTGTGCAGTCACAGTGATGTACTCAGCCTAACCTGCAATTTCATGCTTGTTTCTTTTTCTAGTTTCGATACATACTGTTGCTTAAGTTCAACCTATTCAATAGTGATGGGAGAAAAAATCGATACAGTTACAAATCGCAATATTATTTTTGATAATATATCATATCGTATCGTTTTGACAATATTACAATATAATTTTTGCGCTAGTTGGCTGTACCTGCACCAAAACTTTCCTTTATAGCTTGTTCTCCATCTTCTTTTAAAATATGGAGCCAATTTGTTTTCAGCACTTTTATTTCCATAACTGATCAAAACCCGTTCTCATGGCTCTCTTTTGTCCCTCTGCAGCAGACCTATGGTGAGCAATATGTTTGGAACATCGAATCGCAGTAAAATCCCAGTATCAAATCTCAATACATATAGAATCGTGAGAATTGCAATACATATCGTATCAGCACTTAAGTATCGTGATAATATCGTATCGTGAGGTTCCTGGCAATTCCCAACCCTACTATTCAATGTAAAGGCTTTTTCCCACTGCAATGTGTTCGTTAGAATTCAAGATAAATGACTATCTTTTTTGGACAGGTACCTCTTTTACAGGTGCATCAGAGGAATGAAGGCCTGATATGGATATTTCTATACTTTTTTAACAGGTTTTGTGTCAAATCTAATTATGATACACATTGTTCAATTTAAACTGAAGGAGTGGCATTGAAAATGAATTTGAATAGAGAGAAAAAAGTCCCATGGCTTTGGAATTAGTATGGTGTTGTTTTTTGTATTTTAATAATATTTTAGATCACATACAACCCGAACCCTGATTGTTGATGCTACTGTTTATTTGTCCAGGCTGACATGTTGTGTTCTGCTGTCCTCAGCTGTGGGTGAACCAGGAGGAGAGCACGGCGGTAGAGACAGTTGAGGGGGCTAGCCCCAGCCCCAGTGAGGTCCAGAACGGCCATGCGGAGGCCAGCCCCAGCAGCAGCGACTGTCTCTGCCTGGGCCAGCCCATCCAGAACAGAGACCAGATGAGGGCCAACGTAATCAACGAGATCATGAGCACAGAGCGTCACTACATCAAACACCTGAAGGACATATGTGAGGTAGGCTTGGTTGGCTAGAGGAGATCTTCCAGAGACTGAAGGGCATATGTGAAGCAGAGGTTATAGACCATGGATGGGCAACTTTGATTGGGGTGGGGGCCACAAAAAATCTGAACATATCATGCGGGGCCGCAGTGGCTCACGGGTCTGCGTATCCATATAACCTGGTGGCAGGTAGCCTAGTGGTTAGAGCGTTGGGCCAGTAACTGAAAAGTCGCTCGCTGGTTAGAATACCCGAGCCGACAAGGTGAAAAAGCTGTCGATGTTCCCTTGATTAAGGCACGTAACCCTAATTTGCTCCAGGGGTGCCGTACTACTATGTCTGACCCTGTAAAACCACACACTTCACTGCACCTCTCCGGTATATGTGACAATAAAACATCTTACATGCAGTCAGAGCCGGCCCTAGCCTTTTGGGGGCCCTAAGTTACATTTTGTTGGGGGCAAAACATTTTAGGCGTTTTGTTAGTTTTGGTCTTCTGCAAGGTTTTTTTCGGCTGTTTGTGCACATTAAATATTTTACTGAGACAAGCCGAAGTTCGGTATCCAAAGTTTACGCCCCTTCATCGGTGATTGGTCAACAGTAGGGATTCTTCAATGAAGTGTTTGTTGTCATTCAATGAGAGACGACTCGTTTTCATGCACATTTTTTAACTTGAGAAATACTGCACCAAACATTTTAGTTAGATGTAAAAAGTCCTCCTCGGCAAAAACTTCAAAATTAATTACAGATTTCTTGAGTTATCTTAGATTAATTCAGACTATTTTGAGGAAATGTATACTGGCTATGGCGTCTCAAGAGGGACAAACAGTACTATTGCTGTTTTTTTCTTGTTTTTCAAGAGGTCTTTTAAGGGAGTATGCGAGGCACGGACGTTCAGTTCGCCTAGCCGAGTTCTGCTAGGAGCAAACCGAACCTAGTATGCAGACACCTTCATGTACTATGCTTTTCCTCACGCTTACTATACCACAGGACAATATAGTCTACCAGTCAACTGTCTATCCTGCCGTCTATCCATAGTGACAATAGTGGTAGTTGGATCGTTTGTGCAGATCTGCAATAGGTTAACTAGCAATCATACCACACATAAAATCATTTAAATCTGCACCAATTTTCAATATAAATCCACAAGATAGAGGAATAGCTGATAGGCAGTGGGGAGGCCAGGTGCGTCACTAGGCATTAAAGAACAGTGAAGACACGCAGCTTAAAAAGCTCCCCTATTGATCTTGTTTAGGGACAATAAAATGATCCTACCTAGACTATCCTACAACACCACAATCCAATAAAGAAATTGCATTATTGTTTTCAAGTGAGTACAATTGAGTACAATTCTACTCTAGGCTGTAAACTGCAGTGAAAATGTAATTTGAATAATGGCGTAAAGTCCCTGTTTCATTCCATTTGGATCAGCTGTGGGTCTACTCTCGACAGATTATAGAAAGACACAGTAGCATACCAGTCTGGCTGTATTTTTACTTCCAATACTGATACGTTGTCTGTTGCCAGTCATCATTCTCCCAAGTCATCCTATATATGCTCCCAGCAGGCCCAGTTATTCAGGAAAGCTTAACAGGGTTCTGCCTCCTTTCCGATCCGAGCGGTTATGACTCGACCTATAATATAACGCTACAATCTATCCTAAATATTTGTCATTTAACTTTTAAAATGCATTACCTTTTATGTGTGGCATAACACAACTAGTCACAATGCTTTAATCTGATAAGGCTACTTCAAAAGTCTCCTGTAGGCTGCCTGCGCATGTTCATCCACTCCACTCTAATATAATTCCAGCATCCAAACTGTGCAGCAGCCATTCGATTAATGGAAAGAGACATCTGTTACAAAACACCAAAAAGTTTAATTACAATTGAGATTGTCAAACCAAGCCTTCGATGCTGAGTAGGGAGGGATGTATTTTCAAGATTGACATACTCTACTTCAGTGGTCTCCAACCTTTTCTATTATGAGAGCTTTTAAAAAAGGAAACATGTCGCGAGCTACAATTTTATTTCTAGCTTTCAAATAGGAACATTCTTCTCTTCTCTCCCCTGCAACTCTTCCCCAGGTCCTTAGTGTACAAGAGAAAATAATGCACTATGTTTTCTGTTAATATACCTGGTAAAATAATAGTTAATAAACAACTCTAAAGGGGGCCATATAAAATCTGAGATTTTTTCCCCCAAATGCTGTTTTATATTTTCCCAAATTCTGTTTTCTCAGTTTTATTGTTCCTGGTTTTTGATTTTTTGATGTATTTATTTTTCACTCTCAAAACTACAATTGTTCATAGATAAACAACGAAATTGGATGTTCTGAGTCCATGTCAATGCTTACATCACATCAGAAGACCATTTATTTTAGGTCTGTAAGGAAACTAGCAAATAGATTGTTGAGTGTAATTCCCCTTTAATTGTGCATCTGGCCCTTTAATTGCGCATATCCTGAGCCAGGAATGTGCCGTCTAATGTGCAGGTCTAGTGATGGTTCTGTGCTGCTGCTGGGCATTTCATGGCAAAGTTTGCAAATAACAAATATTAGGTACAGTTGAAGTCGGAAGTTTACATACACCTTAGCCAAAGAAATGTAAACTCAGTTTTACACAATTCCTGACATTTAATCCTAGTAACAATTCCCTGTCTTAGGTCAGTTAGGATCACCACTTTATTTTAAGAATGTGAAATGTCAGAATAATAGTAGAGAGATGGATTTATTTAAGCTTTTATTTCTTTCATCACATTCCCAGTGGGTCAGAAGTTTACATACACTCAATTAGTATTTGGTAGCATTGCCTATAAATTATTTAACTTGGGTCAAACGTTTTGGGTAGCCTTCCACAAGCTTCCCACAATAAGTTGGGTGAATTTTGGCCCATTCCTCCAGACAGAGCTGTTGTAACGGAGTCAGGTTTGTAGGCCTCCTTGCTCACACACGCTTTTTCAGTTCTGCCCACACATTTTCTATAGGATTGAGGTCAGGGCTTTGTGATGGCCACTCCAATACCTTGACTTTGTTGTCCTTAAGCCATTTTGCCACAACTTTGGAAGTATGCTTGGGGTCATTGTCCATTTGGAAGACCCATTTGCGACCAAGCTTTAACTTCCTGACTGATGTCTTGAGATGTTGCTTCAATCTATCAACATAATTTTCCTTCCTCATGATGCCATTTATTTTGTGAAGTGCACCAGTCCCTCTTGCAGCAAAGCACCCCCACAGCATGATGCTGCCACCCCCCGTGCTTCACGGTTGGGATGGTGTTCTTCAGCTTGCAAGCAACCCCCTTTTTCCTCCAAACATAACGATGGTCATTATGGCCAAACAGTTCTATTTTTGTTTAATCAGACCAGAGGACATTTCTCCAAAAAGTACGATCTTTGTCCCCATGTGCAGTTGTAAACCGTAGTCTGGCTTTTTTATGGCGGTTTTGGAGCAGTGGCTTCTTCCTTTCTGAGCGGCCTTTCAGGTTATGTCGATATAGGACTCGTTTTACTGTGGATATAGATACTTTTGTATGCTGTTGTTCTGGGATTGATTTGCACTTTTCGCACCAAAGTACGTTCATCTCTAGGAGACAGAAGTCTCCTTCCTGAGCGGTATGATGGCTGCGTGGTCCCATGGTGTTTATAGTTGCGTACTATTGTTTGTACAGATGAACGTGGTACCTTCAGGCGTTTGGAAATTGCTCCCAAGGATGAACCAGACTAGAGGTCTACAATTTTTTTCTGAGGTCTTGGCTGATTTCCTTTGATTTTCCCATGATGTCAAGCAAAGAGGCACTGAGTTTGAAGGTAGGCCTTGAAATACATCCACAGGTACACCTCCAATTGACTCAAATGATGTCAAGCAGCCTATCAGAAGCTTCTAAAGCCATGACATAATTTCCTGGAATTTTCCAAGCTGTTTAAAGGCACAGTCAACTTAGTGTTTGTAAACTTCTGACCCACTGGAATTGTGATACAGTGAATTATATGTGAAATAATCTGTCTAAACAATTGTTGGAAAAATTACTTGTGTCATGCACAAAGTAGATGTCCTAACCGACTTGCCAAAACTATAGTTTGTTAACAAGACATTTGTGGAGTGGTTGAAAAACGAGTTTTAATGAAGGTTTTGGTGAAAGTATTTCTGTCAAACCACAAGAAGGTTATCACATCAACTGGCTACACACGGAGTGATACACATAAGAGCACCCCACACAGACAGACTGGCAATATTGCTGGAAATTCATTGGCAGATATTGTGTTAGGTTTGGCTTTTTAATTAAGCCATTAGTAGCTAACCAGTGGTGGGATAATGGCAATGTTGTGTTGATAAGATAGTAGCTGGGAGCTTGTAGTGTCTGATACTTGTGAGATTTGTTTATGACAGTTTGCGGTGGAATACGTGAAAATTGCATGTACTTTCAGAATTGTTTGGCGAGCTACTCATAGGTTGCCTGCGAGCTACTGGTAGTTTGTGATCGACTTGTTGGAGACCCCTGCTCTACTTGATTGTGGTGTTGAACGCTAACCATGATGATAAGCGTTCCAAGTCGGAAGTCGGTATGCGGTTATGCGTTGCTTATTGGTTATTGTGGTGCATTGGCACAGAAACCTGTTGGTGGAAAATCTGTTGCATGTATTTTATATAATTATAAATATCATCAAATGTTAAATGGATTTCCGCCTAGTTGATCATTGTCTGCAGCCGGCTCTGATCGTAGTGTAACGAGACAGGCAGGGAGTACATTCTTTTTGTACATTTTTCCATGGTGGTCTGCGAACCCTCAACCTTCTGGCCCGTTAGAGCTGTGTGGCATTGACTGTGCCACAAAACAATGCTAAAGTCATTTATAAACATGAAGGTTGAAAAAGTGTATTTGTATTTATCTAAGTACCCAATAAACTGTATATCCAATATTTCCACAGTGCTATAACAGCTCTTGTGCACTACAGTGATTAGATTATGCAGTACAGTGCTTTCCACGGACTAGGAACAAAATGTGTCTAAAGGCAAACTTCAGTCAATGATGTTCTAAAGAGTAGTGACATGCTACAGTGTTTTAGTGAGAGATTAGAAGCGATGGCTGACCCGTAAATGCTGGTTGTGGGCTCAGAAATAGCATCCCTCCCATCCCACTGCACTCTTCCCCAGCATATATAGAAACAAGCACTCCATCTCTTCACGCACAACCTGTCTCCGTCAAACAACACACCCAGGAGAGTACACGAAAAAGTACTCAAGAAGCTGTTACCCAATCTATGACATTTTTCATCAGTTTTCCCTCTGTTCCCACAGAAATATTACATAATCACAATGTGCTTCGGAACCCCCAAAATGACGCAGAGCTCAGTTGGTAGAGCATGGCGCTTGCAACGCCAGGGTTGTGGGTTCGATTCCCACGGGGGACCAGTATGAAAAAATGTATGCACTCACTAACTGTAAGTTGCTCTGGAGAAGAGCGTCTGCTAAAGGACTAAAATGTAAAAAAAATGTGTAAGCAACATCAAATGGCAAATCGTAATGTCTAGGTGACTAGGAATGGGTATTGAAGCGTGATGGGTCACTTAAGTGTGAAACTATATGATTTTTCAGGAATGACTTGAAATGTTATTGGAGAAATGAGCTCCCACAGAGGGGATGAGTTACATAACTGAGACTCTTGCTTATAGAGCTGTAGCCATCTTTCCTGCCTTTATTTCTCCCTAGGTCTAATCTGGGAAAAATGTGGTTAGAAAAATAAATTCGATGGGAAAGTAACAGTGAATAAATTATGATTATGATGCAGTTATTGGCACTGATGCCTTTTTTAAGCTCAGACAAAACTGTTTGAATGCCCTGTGTCATGTAAAAATATTTCCAGCGTTAAATAGTTCACAGTCGTTCTGATTGTGTTCTGATTGTGACGTCATGCTGTAAAATTTCTCCCAGTGTGAAAATGTTCCCAGTTCAATAATTGCACGCGCATATCTTTATGTGGATGGTTGAGCTCGTGCGGATGTTTCTCTCACATCCTCCTTCGACCTCGAAAAACTGTTCTGTCGGCACGCGCATTTGCTTCACACATCTGCCAATCAATGGTGGCCAGGAGTATTGACACTGACCAATCAGAAGCTTGTTGAGGCGTGAGGTCAGCATATATACACCCGGACTCACGCGTCAAAGTGCAGAGGGTTGATGTGAGGAGAGATATGTTGCAAAGATTTGGGAGCTATGTAGGATGCGAGAGAAACATCCGACGAGCACAGCCATCCATATAAAGAGACGCACATGCAATTATTAAACTGGGAATATTTTCACGTTGTGAGAAATTTTCGAACATGACGTCACAATCACAACACAATCAGAACGATTGGGAAGTATTTCAGGCCGGGAAGATTTTTACATGACACCCTGCAGTAAAAAAAAACACATCCGAGATGCAATGCAACATCAATGAAATACTATCCTTTGAAATGCATAATATTGGAACATAACTTTTTTTTTCTTTGTTGCCTCAGGGTTACTTCCGGCAATGTAAAAAAAGAAGAGACATGTTCAACGATGACCAGTTGAGGGTCATATTTGGGAACATTGAAGATATCTACAGGTTTCAAATGGGCTTTGTCAGAGACCTGGAGAAGCAGTACAATACAGAAGAACCTCATCTCAGTGAAATAGGTCCCTGCTTCCTAGAGCATGTAAGCATTTTTGTATCTCTCAGGATTTCAAGTGTTTTTTAAATGTAATCCCTCAATAGATTTGAGCAAACCTTGTGTATCATACGTACATGTCCATTGGATTCTCATCCTTTGTCATACATCTGAGAACCTTGATGATGGGGCATTTCAGAGTTCCCTTTGGTTATTAATTTCAATGGTAACTTAAGGCAGTAGTGCACGCTCACTATTTTGTGAACTCCAAAAAAAGAAAAACATTCGCAGCTTGTTTCAGCATTTCAGACATACTGTGTACACGTTTATCTGTTGCAGCAAGATGGCTTTTGGATCTACTCAGAGTACTGCAACAACCACGTGGATGCCTGCATGGAGCTCTCTCGGCTGATGAAGGATGGCCGCTATCAGCACTTCTTCGAAGCGTGTCGCCTGGTGCAGCAGATGATTGACATCGCCATTGATGGCTTCCTGCTCACGCCCGTCCAGAAGATCTGCAAGTACCCTCTGCAGCTGGCAGAGCTGCTCAAGTACACTGTCCAGGAGCACAGGTACCTGTCCCTCAGTCTCAATTTCACATCAAAGATTTACATTCATCTCTGTGTCATGATGAAGCATGTTTCTACTGATAAAGATCCTGCTGGAATGAATGGTCTTTTTTGTTCAGTGTAATTGGCCAGTATGAGACATGAGGGTCTTTCATTAATATGTGAGGATCCTAGACATGGATGCTAAACTAAAAGTATTGTTGCTTTGTGCAGTGATGCTATGATAGAGATGTGGCACAGTATGCATGCCTGACTATCTACAGTACTATTGTTGACCTATTCCTCCTTCTTAGTCACCTCCACTATAACATTGTGTCTCCTCCCCTCCTCTCGTAGTGACTACCGTTACGTCGCTGCAGCACTGGCTGTCATGCGGAACGTCACTCAGCAAATTAACGAGCGGAAGCGTCGCCTGGAAAACATTGACAAGATAGCACAGTGGCAGGCGTCTGTGCTGGACTGGGAGGTAGGACTGAGACAGGGTGACAGGACTGAGGAACTAACAAGTACTATGGGACAAACATACAACAATCTGTTTTACTTCAATATTTTTCTCTGTCAACTCACTCCTTTGCTACTAGTTTGTTTTGGTCAGAGTTTGAAACATAATGTATTTTACAACGGAAATAGTTTGATAAGCTGTCACGTAGAGCTTCTATGAAGGTTTAGAGGCAAGAAGTTGTTGTTTCTTCTAAAGGAAAATGTATCAATCGCTCCTTTTGGAGTACCTACTCTTTTGAAAACATAGATTGTCAAATGCAGTGCATTTTGAAGCACTCCGTTTCATCAGGATGAAGTTAATCAGGAGTGAGAAAAGGAAGTGAAAGGATCTGTGTTGCTTGACTAGAGCCTGTATTTGATGTGAGCGTGAGAGAGCTAGCGATATCAGGCCACTCTGACCTAGTTGAAGAGAGTTTTTCCAGAGTTGCACAATCACTGAGGTACTGTAATTATATAAAGTAATTTTTTTTTCAAACCCACCAGAGTTCTACTTTGTCACCATCTATGTATTTGATTCTTCTGTCATTATCTAATGAGTCAATGTAACATGAGAGGAAGCCTGTCTTACCAGTCAGTATCTTATCAGTCAATTTTCTAATGTCATAAGCATAAAATGATTCTGTTTTGTTGACTATGTATCACAGACTGTTATTGATCCTGTTTAAAGATCTGACCTTCTTGTATTTCTCTGTGCAGGGGGATGATATTCTAGACAGGAGTACAGAGCTGGTGTACACTGGGGAGATGTCATGGATCTACCAGCCATATGGGCGGAGTCAGACCAGGGTCTTCTTCCTGTTCGACCATCAGATGGTTCTGTGTAAAAAGGTAAGGTGGCCACATCTGGGTAACAAATGCTATTGAATTGATCGGAACCAGTCTTGGCACATCCATCTGTACATATTGCCAATGTAACCACTCTCTTTTGCAGACAGAGTTGGCATGAATTTGTTTAGAATGTGATCAACTGGTCAATTTGTTTGTGAATAAAACATGGCAGCAAAATCAGTATGTGTGTTTGTACATTTAGTTACACTCCCAGGTTCAAGGCAAGTGAAGGTCGCTGCTTGAAAAAGAGAGGTATGTCACCAGCTTAATGTGCCTAAGGGGTAATGATTTATTGTGCAAAACAGAAAGTCACAGGGTTGTATAAGAAAATGCTTAGCCTCAGACAGAGCTTTAGGACATTATGACTACAGTTTTTATAGTAGTTTATATGACAATAATTCCTCTTTACTCCCCAATTCCGACAAGATATTTGAGTCATATACACAAAACTTAAACTGTTAAAATAAGAAGCATCTCAAGTAAAAAATAATTTAAGAAGTTCTGAAATGCATCCAATAGCTCAAAATGTGTTGAGAGATTCTCAAATGTCATGTTAAGAAATTCTCAATTAATGTTTAGCTCTTAAACCCTCAATCAATCCCATTAATTGGCCTATTAGTACGAGTCTTTGTAAAAGCTTAGTCATTCAAATGTGATGGTAGCTCTCAGAAACTTCACAGTGAGGGAAATTCTGCAACCTATATCAGTGTGATATATTGTCACCATGCAATTTGCAGTTTGAAATTAAAATGGTCAGGAACACATCTTTAATTCAGCTCTTGAAATGGAATGGATCCTGTGGTACTTGATGTAACAGAACTGGATGGAGATTCATCCCTGCTTGTCTGTGAGGTCTTATCTTTGATCTCCATCCCCTCAGCACTGTGATTGATTCCTGCTCCTGAGGTGGATGACAACAGTGTTGTAACATAAGGCCGTCCAAAGGGGAGCTGACAGGCTTACAGGACAGTACACAGGGCTGTTGTGTCTCTCAGAGTTTACCGCTACCACTGGCAGCTGGGACAAGTGTGACGCAAGCTCTCCGAGGGGACAGGAATACATAGTACGCAGCAGAAACATCACTAATGGGGATGGGACACCTGGAATCTGGAGCAGCTGTTTACAGCAAAGTGCATTATTCATCAGGGTGATTGTCTGGAACCCTGTCTATCACAGGGAAATTGATAGGCTGCAATTAGTAAAAATTCACTTATTTCTTCCTGGCTGCCAGGAATTCAAGCCTTTTCATTTCCTGTCTGTCTGTCACCTGGGTTTCGCAGTACCTCGCTAGTGTTCAAAGCACTGGCGTAGATAATTAGAATCCACTCTACTTTATTTTTCCTTTCCCTTCCGCTCCTCCCTCCCTTCCTTTTCCCTCAGGACTTGATAAGACGAGACATCCTGTACTACAAGGGCCGCATGGATATGGACAGGTACAATGTAGTTGATGCCGTCGATGGGCGGGATGATGACTTCAACGTGAGTGTGAAGAACGCGTTCAAGCTGAGTAATAAGGAATCCGACGAGATCCACATCTTCCTGGCCAAGAAGCTGGAGGAGAAACTTCGCTGGCTAAAAGCTTTCCACGAGGAACGCAAGATGGTGCAAGAGGATGAAAAAATAGGTGTGAATGTGAAAGAAATGTTAATTTGTACAACATAAATGAAAATGATGAATGAAAATAACAATTATTTATATTTTTCAGGGTTTGAGATATCAGAGTATCAGAAGCGACAAGCGGCAATGACGGTGCGAAGAATGACCAAACAAAAAGGTAAATGCACACTTTACCAAGTTAGTTAACTAACAGCTTCTGTTTTTAGTCCATATATAGTGCATCTCTCTCCTCCTTAATATCTCTCCTCCCATGTGTAGGCCATAGGTCTGTGCCCCCCGGATACCCCCCTCCTATGGACCCCATGAATCCAGGACAGTACTTGGTAGGAGACGGCATGGAACAATCAGAATTTGAATTCCCTGAACCTGAAAGGTGCAAGTCTCCCTTCTGGCAGAGCTTCAGCAGGTTAACCCCCTTTAGGAAATAGAGAAGAGATATTTTAGAAAGACCACCTTATTTTTTTGAGAAGCACCATTGTATTTCAATTGTGACTCTTTTTAGGGAAAGCTGAACACAATAGTATTTGGACCCAAGAGTATTTGGATTGTCAAACATTTAGCTTGTGAGCATCTCAATGATGACTGTACTGTTATAATCACTTTACCTGTATGACTGCAATGACAACTACCAACACAACTACCACAGCGAATGACCACACCTTTGGAACCTGAGAGAAACCAAAACACCTTCCTATCTCAAGATCTGTGAGAATATTTTTGTGACTTCTACTAATCCTTGGACAATGGAAAATGGAACCGTGAGTTTCAAGGAAGAACTAACAGAACATTTGTGTCCACATTTAAAAATGAGGAAGCACTAGTCATACATTGATCTTTATGCCAAATCTGGTTGTGTCCTACAGTTCACTGTGACCTTAATGGGCATTTTATGAGTTTCTCTCTTTTTTTAAATTCTTTTTTTTTTGTTAATGTAAAATGCTGGCCAAATTCATCAATTCTTGTTTTTGTGAGTATTTATTTCAATTTTATTTTTGTTAATTTATAATGCATGATCAAGTCCATTGTAGGTATTCATTGTGCAATTATATTCTTACGGGTCAAAGGAAAAAGAGAATCAGCATCATCAACTTCAGTGTGACTCATTCAAATACATCTTATATTGTTGACAGGGTATATATGTTGTATATATTTTTATTACATGTAGGTACTTAAGTCTGATAGGAATATCATCTTGTGGTGTTCTCTTAAATAGTAATTCACACTGATTTTACATAACCAGGATGGTAGTTTGAGACCTGATATTACAGTATATTCAGCTAACATACAGTACATTGTATAGTGCTTTCTTTACCACCGGGCACCTCACAGTCATTGTAGAATAATATGTGGTTATAGTTGCACTTACCTAAGATCCACCTGTGATTTCGTCAGGTAGAAGAGTCTGCTAGAATGCCTTTCAACCGCCCAAGTCATTTAACAAGGATTGTGATCGCATAACCTTCGGACATAAAAAGGCCTACCATAAAACTATTTGACGATAGTTCCATAAATGACCATGGTTAAACCCCTATCCATTGGCTATATTTTCATGTGATATTCATTCTTGATAGTGAAAGCTTTATTGGTTAGGACCAAAAAATTATACCACTTTGTTTAAGGTAGCCAAACTACAGTAAAAACATCTTGGTAGTCTTTTTCTTGTGGTGGCTTTCATAGTGCCAGCACAATGTTATGACATGACTGATTTTACGCCTGTCATTGCAGGTTAAAGCCTTCACTTGGTCTGCCATCAGGCTTAGATGAAGCAGATGAGGAACGTTTCAGGGGGATTCCAGTGTGGGTTTTTTTAGGCATTATGATGGCTACTTCAACAACAAAGTTTTACAAGAATTTCACATGAAAAATGCAAAGGAAATGCTGGTGGTCAAGCTTGTTATCTATATTTGTATTCAAAGGGTAAAAACAATTTTTAAAAGGATATTTATTTATATGCCAAAAAAATTAACTAGGATTTAATACATTGCATTAGATACAGTATAAAAGCACAATATGAAAGTGTGCAGTAATATTGAAAGAAAAAACACTTTAAATATTAAGGCATTTTCTCTTGATTAACTGATATGGAACATTCATTAATTTATTTTAAAATGTGCATTATAATGAAAACAAATGCTTAAATGTCTGAATTGATAAGTTGTTTTATTTAATTTTTGGTTTTATTGATAATTATGGATGATTTATCATTAATTCTGTGACTATGGCTTGGAATAAATCAAAATGCGTCAACATGATTGTTTCCTTCTTAATAACTTAAGTTGTGCAGTACCCTGTTAGGTATAAACAGATGTGCATTAACATAAACTGTAATGCGATGGATAAACACCAAGATTATCTAAATTAATTTCTCAGAATGCCAAGTGTTTATATTGACTTTTTCTCCCAAGAATCACCATCTCTCCTTATAATTCCCTCTTAACGTACCAAAAGACAGTTTAATGAAGCACACCAACCTGTAAGCGAAACCATGCATAAGATCTACTATTAAAGAATGACCATTAATGTGTAAAGAAATCAATTTATTGTTTATTGCAGATATGTATGTTGAAGGACTATATGAAGACTTTAAACGAGTCAAATTATGTTTGAAACTGAGAAATTCAAGGATAAGCTACAGTATAATTGCACTATGGCCCCCAACTGGCTAGTTAGGGAAGTGGTAGACCTGGTAGCCTGCTGGTTGTGTGTAACAACCTTTCAGTTGTTTACACTAATCAATGATGTAGTATAGCCTACTACTGTAGCTGTGAATGACTTAATAAAGACAACTAATGTATTTCAGGTAATAGTGATTTATTAAAGCATGAAAACATTCTTAGATGTGCATCTGCATACATTACACGGACACGTTAAAGCATACATTACACGGACACGTTAAAGCATACATTTAAACAGTAAAACTCACAACCTGAAGATGGTACCGCTTATGCTAAAATCATGGGTTCAATGGGTTCATCTGTAGAAACATCTAGTTAAGACTGTATGGCTTTTCCAACATTTGTGAGCAGACCGTTCATTGTAAGGTAGTTAGTTACCCTCACCAAGTTTAGGATAGGCACACTGAGTGATTTGTGCTTTCTGCTGTAGATTGACCTATCGAGATGGTGTGGATATTGTGGTTTGAGTCATCGGTACCATCTAGCTTTGTTTATACCTGGCGCTAACATGCGTCCTTTGTCCTGATCTTGTCCACATTCTGATTGTGCCCACATTTTCTGTCTCATATCCATCCACTGTGTCTGCCTTGTGACCATATTTCCTGGTCCCTCCCTGTATGCACATTTTCTGACAGGCATTCTTTCAAAATATTATTTATTTTAAGACATGTTGATGACAGCAGCATACCACCCTGCATCCCAATGCTGGCTTGCCTTTGAAGCTAAGAAGGCGGGATAATGATGATTTAAATGGTTTCACTGTCCAGATCCTTCTACACTTGTAAGATATCCAGACACAATGGGTCCCTGAATACTTCCAGAGGTGGTCAAGAAGATCTGATCTCAATCAGATCACAATGCGTCTTTTAATAATTTACACCTGTCTGAAAATGAGGGCACAATCAGAATGTGGACAAGGTCAGGACAAAGGATGTATGTTAGAAGCAGATATAAACAGGTCTTCTGTTAAACAGTAATAACACAGTACTGTTAGGCCTACACAGTATCAGGTCTGAGATGTTCATCCTGTTGATACTGTATGAGTTCTCTGAATGATAGATACCACTCCATTCACTCCCTATGTGCATGACTACAGATTGCATGGCTCTATTCCTGCTGGCTGCCAATCCAAGGCATCAGAACTTTAAAAACAACAACAAATACAATGCGCTGGGCAGAAGCATTAATGCATATCTTTGTCTTTAGGATTCCAGGGCTAACACTTAGACACGTGTTCATTTGGTTTAAGATGATCTCAAACTCAGACCATTGTTCATATAAAAACATAATCCCTGAATTCCTGTGAATTAAGAATCCATACAATCTGTTTCAGCGAAAGAATGAGCAATGATCAATGTCCTTTTCATTGCATAACATTTTATACAAAAACAGCATTGTGACCCAGTGCATGGTAAGGTGACATTCACAGTGTAACTTTGATGTGATATTTTTATAGTGAATTTTGATGCCCCCAAACTACAAACCAGTAATTTAAACCTTCTTTGACAACACGTCTACTTTCTTCTCTCATAGATGTTTATATCTGATGCATTTCAAAGTGCTTTTATTTTGTACATGAAAGAACCTGATGTTGCATTTGCTCCGCTTGTTTTGTGAAATGGAAAGTATTTGTGTTTTATCCCATCTTACTTTTTCTCCATCTGATTTACACTTTAGACTGCCGGACATCCTTCCACTCCATCTTAGTGTTCTGCAGGGCCTGAGTCTTTTTCTCATCCACCTGCACATAGTCCACCCTGTGTTCATCAGCAAGGAAGGGCTTCTGGAAGACATCACAGCAGAGTTGGTGTACAGTAAACTAAGGTAAGGACATTATTCAATCAAAACCTGTATCCAGACTAGAATTACCAGTCTTACATAGACAACCCTTCCCACCTTTCCATAAAGTGAAAAACAAATGTAAATGGATGCTGTTTTGTCAGTTATTCAGTGGCTATAATAAATGTCATATGTCCTCTCTATGGTGCAGCCTGTATTCCATCCATTAGTATTCCTTTCGCTAAGTCTTTTTTCTGTGAATGACTTGTCCCCAAAACAATGAGTCACTGATTAATTACCATGGAAATGGACACAACTACACCTTGCAAGTGCTATTTGAGCCAATTCCACAATGTACTGTATTGTTTACATCTGGGCTATTGAATCCAGATGGAAGGTGGAGCAATAAAACCAAACCAATGAGATGATACATGCAGTATGTGTACAGTGCATTCTGAAAATATTGGCTAATTCCACATTTTGTTACGTTACAGCCTTATTCTAAAATTGATTAAATTGTTTTTTTTCTTCTTCTCATCAATCTACACACAATACCCCCATAATGACAAAGCAAAAACAGGTTTTTATATTTTTTTGCAAAAAAACAAAAAACACAACTGAAATATAATATTTACATAAGTATTCCGACTATTTACTCAGCACTTGATTACAGCCTCGGGTCTTCTTGGGTATGACGCTACAAGCTTGGCACACCTGTATTTGGGGAGTTTCTCCCTTTCTTCTCTGCACATCCTCTCAAGCTCTGTCAGGTTGGATGGTGAGCGTCACAGCACAGCTATTTTCAGGTCTCTCCGGAGATGTTAGATCGGGTTCAAGTCTGGGCTCTGGCTGGGCCACTCAAGGACATTCAGAGACTTGTCCCGAAGCCACTCCTGCGTTGTCTTGGCTGTGTGCTTAGGGTCGTTGTCCTGTTGGAAGGTGAACCTTCACCCCAGTCTGAGGTCCTGAGCATTCTGGAGCAGGTTTTCATCAAGGATCTCTCTGTACTTTGCTTAATCTTTCCCTCGAACCTGACTAGTCTCCCAGTCCCTGCCACTGAAAAAGAATCCCCTTAGGCCAAAGAGTTCAATCTTGGTTTCATCAGACCAGGGAATCTTGTTTCTCATGGTCTGAGAGTCTTTACGTGCCTTTTGGCAAACTCCAAGCGGGCTGTCATGTGCCTTTTACTGAGGAGTGGCTTCCGTCTGGCCACTCTACCATAAAGGCCTGATTGGTGGAGTGCTGCAGAGATGGTTGTCCTTCTGGAAGGTTCTCCCATCTCCACAGAGGAACTTTGGAGCTCTGTTAGAGTGACCATCGGGTTCTTGGTCACCTCCCTGACCAAGGCCCTTCTCCCCCGATTGCTCAGTTTGGCCGGGCGGCCAGCTCTAGGAAGAGTCTTGGTGGTTCCAAACTTCTTCCATTTAAGAATGATGGAGGCCACTGTGTTCTTGGGGACCTTCAATGCTGCAGAAATGTTTCGGTACCCTTCCCCAGATCTGTGCCTCGACAAAATCCTGTCTCGGAGCTCTACGGACAATCCCTTTAACCTCATGGCTTGGTTTTTGCTCTGACATGCACTGTCAACTGTGGAACGTTATATAGACAGGTGTGTGCCTTTCCAAATCATGTCCAATCAATTGAATTTACCACAGGTGGACTCCAATCAAGTTGTAGAAACATCTCAAGGATGTTCAATGGAAACAGGATGCACCTGAGCTCAATTTCGAGTCTAATAGCAAAGGGTCTGAATACTTATGTAAATAAGGTATTTCTGTTTTTTATCTTTAATACATTTGCAAAAATGTCTAAAAACCTGTTTTCGCTTTGTCATTATGGGGTATTGTGTGTAGATTGATGAGGAACATTTTTTATTTTATCTATTTTCGAATAAGGCTGTAATGTAACAAAATGTGGAAAAAGTCAAGGGGTCTGAATACTTTCCGAATGCACTGTATGGTGTTCACTGTTTTAAGGTCTGACCAGTACATGTGGTTTTAAGTACTATTGAAATGAAAACCTATTCTGCACCACTGCTCAGATGGTGACACAGACCAATATTTTGGCTTGATTTCTAACATAAGAGTCAATGCAAAAGTGGCACTTCAAGAAAATGTCACATACAGAATACAATAATTTGGTGGGTGCTTATTTGTCCTATTTCACATGTATTAATATTCATGTGTGACCCTGGAGCAATTAGGGTTAAGTGCCTTGCTCAAGGACACATCAACCACGTTTTCACCTTGTCAGCTCGGGATTCGAACTAGCAACCTTTCGGTTACCTGCTCAACACTCTAACCACTAGGCTACCTGCCACCCTATGCATTCTATATATGGAGTCCCTAAAGGACCTGTTTCCTAGATACAGGCGCATTGCACATTCAATTGCAGATTAAACCCTAAGAGTGAGCATAGCAACAAATGTCAGATTCTTCCCCTAGATTGGTTATAGTAGCAATAATTAAAATGTATGACACCAATCTGTTAACTGTCATGTGTATCAATTAAGCAGGCAGAGACAAAGTGATATTACTGTAGATTAATACATTCTTGATATGCCCACACACACTAGAATGAACAGAGGGAATTGCAGTGGATGATGACGGTAAATGTAGGTCCTTTAAAGCTGCCAGTGGCAGCTCAAAGTGAAAGACAGGCACTTCTAATGCTGTTAAATGGTTGAATTGATTCAGTGAGAGGACCATAATGAGAGAACCACAATGGAAACAAGTATTTTGACTTTTTTGTGTATATAATCCTAAACAATTTTGGTATATGTATCTGTTGCCTGGTGTAACATTCTTATGTTTTTTAAATTGTCAAATCAAATCAAATCAATGTCTTGCTTTGGAAACAAAACCCATTCCTACCATTTGACCTCTGTCTATTCAATCAAGCTTACCTTTTGCACAGGAGAGGGGGATGCAGAATTGAAATCCAGTGAAAGGTAGTCGAGGTTTGATCTCCTAAGCCACGGCTGGGAGGCTCCCTCGTTTGTAGAGAAGAGCTGTTGCCTTGACTCCTGAAATTAAAGGAATCTCAGTTACAATGAGTCTCACCTCACATTCATCCATATTTTTGATCTCTGAATATGTTATGTCATATGGTTCACCAATACTGAACATTTTCCATTTTGTATTGCTAGTTTCAGGTGAATATCAATTGTAATATTTTAATCCTTTCTTGGTACCCCAAACATGAATAAATAATCATGATGCTCAAAGCTTTATTCCCCTGCTTTAGGCAGTTTGGAACTCAGAGTTTAGACACAACAGCTGAATTATTCATGGTAGGGGAGGGAAGCAGTCTACCTATGAAGTGACTTGGGTACTTTATTTCTCGCTGAAGATTGCGGAAATGAAAGTGTATGTATAAATATTTGTGATGTCAATATAGAAGGTAACTTTACTATTGGAATGCTGGCTTCTTGGTCTCCTTTAAATCCCAGTTTTCCTTGCAGTGAATTGCTGGGAACAACACAAACAAACACACAAATAAATTCAGCTTTTTTTTCATTTTAGAATTTGGACAGAAAGAGAGCTGAGAGTTCAGGATGAAGAGAGTTATATTTCTGACTCACCCTGGCTCTGTCATGGTTCTGATCAAAGGCATATGAGTCGGACATTCTCTGATAGTGGACAGGCCCCTCAGGTCCAGTGGTGGAGGCCGTGCTGCGAACCAGAGAAACAACATGGTGAGGTGAGGCAAATTCTCTATCGGACAATAATGATCAGCTGTACTTTTCCCCCAACAAAGGACATTTGTGTTGAAACAGCAATATTTCAAAAAGAGTCATGCTGCAAATGTTGACTCAGGAAATACTGTCCCGAAAGGACACTTTCACAGGGAGTCACAAGATTCAATAGAATGTGAAAACCTTATTCATTGTGCTTTTCAGCAAAATACATGCTTATGAAAGCATTTTTTATGCTTCCTCTACTTAGTACCCACTGCTAGAATGAGGATTAAATACATTATGTAGCCCTTTTAGACATGTTTTTTTACTTCCTTTTTGCTCATTACCTCTCCTGCGTGGTTTGAGATCCCTGTTGATTGGAGGTGGTTCTTGATCCTCATGTAGATATGCAGTGGAAAGGGGGGTGGGAGTGAGAGGGGCCTCTGTTTTGCCATTAGCCTTGAGGAAGCTGATTGGAGTGGGGCTCATAGGGACGTAGCCGTCCGATACATCTTCACCAACAAAGACAGGCGGAGAGGCCATGGACACGTATGAGTCCTCATGGCAGTATGGACTTTGTGTGTCAATGACATGTGGCTACAAGACAAGAAGACCAGACCAACTTAGTAATTTGAAGTACACCAGTGCCTAGAATGTTGTAATAAGTCACTTGTAAATCATATATTGTTGTTTGACATTCAAGAAGGAAAGAATGACAGTTAAGAATTATTCCCTGCTATGAACTATTCAACAACATTATGTGCAAAACATTCAGTTCCCCTCCGTTGTAAGTACATGTTTTCTCACCAAATTGAGACTGAGCCTTTTGTTCCTGCTCCTCAATGCATTCCCCTCAATGTCTCCTAGATAAGACAGAAATATCACTAATGAAGGTGGTTGTCATGTTATATAACAGAAACAATGACACCAGGCATACTGTGTGGTTGGAAACATGTTAGGTCAGAATCAATACATGTGCTGACTATATTTATTACATATACCTCATTGATGAGCATACAGTATATGGAGCCAGGTATGAAGGGCTTAGACCAGGAATCATCAACTAGATTCAGCCGCGGCCTATTTTTTATTGAGTGGATGGTCGGGGGGCTGGAACAGTATGTGGACACCCCCTCAAATGAGTAGATTTGGCTATTTCAGCCACACCCTTTGCTGACAGGTATATAAAATCAAGCAAATAGCCATGCAATCTCCATAGACAAACATTGGCAGTAGAATGGCCCATACTGAAGAGCTCAGTGACTTTCAACGTGGCACCGTCATAGGATGCCACCTTTCCAACAAGTCAGTTCGTCACATTTCTGCCCTGCTAGTGCTGCCCCGGTCAACTGTAAGTGCTGTTATTGTGGAAATGTCTAGGAGCAACAACGGTTCAGCCCGCGAAGTGGTAGGCCACACAATCTCACAGAACGGGACCGCCGAGTGCTGAAGCGCATAGCGCATAAAAATCGTCTGTCCGCGGATGCAACACTCACAACCAAGTTCCAAACTGCCTCTGGAAGCAACGTCAGCACAAGAATTGTTCGTCGGGAGCATTATGAAATGGGTTTCCATGGCCGAGCAGCCGCACACAAGCCTAAGATCACAATGCGCAATGCCAAGCATCGGCTGGAGTGGTGTAAAGCTCACCGCCATTGGACTCTGGAGCAGTGGAAACGAGTTCTCTAGAGCGATGAATCACGCTTCACCATCTGGCAGTCAGACGGACAAATCTGGGTTTGGTGGATGCCAGGAGAACGCTACCTGCCCCAATGCATAGTGCCAACTGTAAAGTTTGGTGGAGGAGGAATAATGGTCTGGGGCTGTTTTTCATGGTTAGGGCTAGGCCCCTTAGTTCCAGTAAAGGGAAATCTTAACGGTATAGCATACAATGACATTCTAGACGATTCTATGCTTCCAACTTTGTGGCAACAGTTTGGGGAAGGCCCTTTCCTGTTTCACCATGACAATGAACCCGTGCACAAAGCGAAGTCCATATAGAAAAGGTTGGTTGAGATCGGTGTGGAAGAACTTGACTGGCCTGCACAGAGCCCTGACCTCAACCCCATCGAACACCTTTGGGATGAATTGGAACGCCGACTGCGAGCCAGGCCTAATCACCCAACATCAAGCCCCCGCAGCAATGTTCCAACATATAGTGGAAAGCCTTCTCAGAAGAGTGGAGGCTGTTATAGCAACAAAGGGGGGACCAACTCCATATTAATGCCCATGATTTTGGAATGAGATGTTCGACGAGCCAAAGTCCACATACTTTTGGCCATGTAGTGTAATTAGAAATTTGGAGACTACAAATTGACCGCAAGAAGCCCGAACAGATATCATATTTGACTAAAACATAATCATTTCAAACCTTGCTCAGATTTTTATACAATCACATATATATCTCTATTATGTGTGGGAATACTTTGGATCAGATTTCCAAAATTAAAATCACTTGGAGCTGATTTCCTTGTGTTTTTAGAGTCTGATGTCCAACAATATATATATATTTTTTAATTGTCAGAAAACTTGGGGGTCGAAATAAAATCACAGTTGGGGAACCCTGGCCTAGACTGAAGGACTCTGCTGGTTATATACTGTACCTCTTCTGAAGTGGTCTGGCAGGCCTGACAATGAGATCCTCCGGGGGATGAGTGCAGGTTGGCCTGTGAGCCGCTGCCTAATTCCTGCCAGAGGCCCGTGGGAGCCGTCATCACTGAGGTGCTCTAAGAGGTGGACAGGCTTGGGGGGCAGAGGAGGGGGAGTTAGTCCATCACTAGTTGCCTCCAATATGGCAGAAGAGTATGGCTTGTCAAACTGGAAGACATTTGGTGTACGATGGAGAGTTCGAGGAGAGGAAGAGGTTGACGTGGGGCCACATGGTGCGCTGAAGGGGGTGTCATGCGTCCTTATGTGGGGGAAGGGGGACGGAGATGATCCAGTGTGGGGGAAGGGGAACGGAGATGGTCCAGTGTGGGGGAAGGGGGACAGAGATGGTCCAGTGTGGGGGAAGGGGGACGGAGATGGTCCAGTGTGGGGGAAGGGGGACAGAGATGGTCCAGTGTGGGGGAAGGGGGACAGAGATGGTCCAGTGTGGGGGAAGGGGGACGGAGATGGTCCAGTGTGGGGGAAAGGGGACGGAGATGGTCCAGTGTGGGGGAAGGGGGACAGAGATGGTCCAGTGTGGGGGAAGGGGGACAGAGATGGTCCAGTGTGGGGGAAAGGGGACGGAGATGGTCCAGTGTGGGGGAAGGGGGACAGAGATGGTCCAGTGTGGGGGAAAGGGGACGGAGATGGTCCAGTGTGGGGGAAGGGGGACGGAGATGGTGCAGTGTGGGCAAAGGGAGACAGAGAAGGATCAGTGCCGAGGGGTGAAGAGAAGACATCTTCAGTAGTAGCGTCTGATGAATTTTGTTCCAGAGATCTCTCAGAGTTTGAAAAGCTGTCGCATCTATAAAAGAAAGTCAAAGAAAAATACAGTGTTTATCGTTTATCATCATTTAACCTAAACATCACAATATGTTATGACAATCCAATGAGGTGCAAAAGTTGGTATGATGTATCAATTGGGGGAGGGACCGTCTTCAGGAAGCAGAGCGACGTGAGGGCATGGTGTGAGCGAAGGGTAAGATACATTTAATTATTTTGTATGTTTAAATAGAGATAACTTGACAACCCTCTAAAGAAGCATATTTGATAGGTTTTTAACATATTTTGTTGCCTCAGGGCAACATTGAGCAGTTAGGCTACTTATCAGGGCAATATCATACTCAATGGAAGACATGTAATTTGATTAAAATGATGGCCTTGGTCAATGTTTTTTCCAACATATCCACTGACATTCACAGGCAATGGACACAGGAAAACTCTAGGGCACAAGGAGCCTAATTGAGCAGTTAGGATCATACCCTCTGATAGTGAGGACAGTGAGCTTGAGGACAGTGAGGAAGAATGGACCCCAGAATCAGGTTTGAGAGGCAATGAAATACTAGTTTATGCCCAACTTGTATTTTCTTATGAAAATAGTCTTGTTTCTACTGTATTTCACTTAATAAATGTTCTGAAAATATCAGATTTTCCTTGGTGTTTTAGTACCCTTATGGCATAGAGTTGCCCTGAGGCAAAACAAATATCTGGGTGTGGGGGTTAAAAGTAATTTTTTGTTGTTGAAATTATTGATACATTACCAGAAAGCCTACATCTTCAAAAAATACGATGTATTATTTTTTGTTTGCTGCAATATGTAACTTTTTGGGTGACCTGACCAAATTCACATAGAAATGTGAGTTATAGATATGTCATTCTCATTGAAAGCAAGTCTAAGAAGTGGTAGATCTGTTCTATGTGCACTATTTCTATGCTTTCTGTTCTTAAATTTCGTTTTTGCGTCTTGTACTTTCGGTTTTGTACACCAGCTTCAAACAGCTGAAAATAAAATATTTTTGGTTATTGAAAATATATTTTACAGCGGTTTAGATGGTACAATGATTCTTTACACTCTACTTGCTTGTTTTGTCACATAAACTGAAAGTAGGCAAACTATTATAATTTTATTATTAACCTTTTTTCCAATGAAAAAACTAAATGTGTGTAGTAGAGGGTTAAACAACGTGTGGTGTTGATATTGTGTCCAGCTTGATGTTTGAGAGGCTACATACCTAGAGATGCTGAACCTCCCTGTCTCACACTGTGAGAGGACGAGGTAGTCCAGTGGATGGTTGGGTTCCATCTGGCTAGGCATCTCCACTCTGCTGTTGCCATTGGCCATAAAGTCATGGTTGGAAATTAATGACATATTTCGGGAGAGCACTGGTGAAGGCTGCTGGGGGGTTGGGGTGTGAGAGAAACCTTCCTCTGATTCTGAGAAACAGAGAGATGTGGAGAGAGCGAGGGAGAATAGTGAGAATAGAGAGAAGAAATCCATCGTTTCTACATTAGTTCTGGGCTGGCTCAGGATAATGTTACACAGACATTGGGCGAGAGTCAGACAGGAATCCTGATCTCTCTTGATAAATGTGATCTCTGAAACGTAGTTGTCAGTACTCTCCAGCAGGTGGCAGTGGAATGAATTTGTACAGTGCTTTTAATGCTTTTGCCCTTGTCCATGTCCCCCTTACTGTAAACGAAGCCCACACCATGTAACTATTCAGACTGAGTAACCCCTTTGCTAATAAAAAGTCCACTATGGTACAGTATAACCACAACACATGTGTATGTATAAACATGTTATACACTGAGTATACCAAACATTAGGAACACCTTCCTAATATTGAGTTGCACCCCTGCACCTGGTCAATGCCTGAGAAGGTGTTCTTAATGTTTTGTATACTCAGTCCATGTTGTGTAAATATGTGACATGTGTAGAGTAACCATTATTTGACCAGCACCATAAAACATAAGAATGAGAAAAGAAAGACCATGCAGTGTAAATATGGAAAAAGTAAGTATTTCTTTACTTTTCCAAACCATATACAGTACATACTGTAGTTTGTGACTGTGTGCTGTGCATTCATGTGTTTGAATTTTCTATTGACAATATTTGAGGCGAGGTGCTGACTAGTAGAACATAGCTATAACTATTAGTTTTCTGTTAAAATGGTTTAGTTGAGCGGTGAGAACATGCAGACAGGAGCCTGAGATCTATATACGAGGAAACATCAATGTTCTCATCATTCACACATTGCTTAACTAATAGATTGCCGTTACTTCATTACTGGCAATCATCTCTGTTGGGCTTTCAGTAACTGAGGTAATTATACACTGAACAAAAATATAAATGCAACATATAAAGTGTTGGTCCCATTTTTCATGAGCTGAAATATAATATCCTAGAAATTTTCCATATGTACAAAAAGTTTTTTTCTCTAAAATGTTGTGCACAAATTTGTTTACATTCCTGTTAGTGAGCATTTCTCCTTTGCCAAGATAATCCATCCACCTGACAGGTGTGGCATATCAAGAAGCTGATTTAACATTATGATCATTACACAGGTGCACCTTGTGGGGTAATGGTATTGGCAGGCATAAACTACAGACAATAAACACTATTGCATTTTATTGATGGGAATTTTAATGCACAGAGCTACCGTGATGAGATCCTGAGGCCCATTGTCGTGCCATTCATCCGCCGCCATCACCTCATGTTTCAGCATGATAATGCACGGCCCCATGTTGCAAGGATCTGTACACAATTTCTGGAAGCTGAAAATGTCCCAGTTCTTCCATGGCCTGCATACTCACCAGACATGTCACCCATTGAGCACGTTTGGGATGCTCTGGATCGACGTGTAAGACAGCGTGTTCCCGTTCAACAACTTTGCACAGCCATTGAAGAGGAGTGGCACAACATGCCATAGAACACAATCAACAGCCTGATCAACTCTATGCGAAGGAGATGTGTCGCGCTGCATGAGGCAAATGGTGGTCACACCAGATACTGACTGGCTTGCTGATCCACGCCCCTACTTTTCTTTTAAGGTATCTGTGACCAACAGATGCATACCTGTATTCCCAGTCATGTGAAATCCATAGATTAGGGCCCAATGAATTTATTTACAGTGGGGAAAAAAAGTATTTAGTCAGCCACCAATTGTGCAAGTTCTCCCGCTTAAAAAGATGAGAGAGGCCTGTAATTTTCATCATAGGTACACGTCAACTATGACAGACAAAATGAGGAAAAAAAATCAAGAAAATCACATTGTAGGATTTCTAATGAATTTATTTGCAAATTATGGTGGAAAATAAGTATTTGGTCAATAACAAAAGTTTCTCAATACTTTGTTATATACCCTTTGTTGGCAATGACACAGGTCAAACGTTTTCTGTAAGTCTTCACAAGGTTTTCACACACTGTTGCTGGTATTTTGGCCCATTCCTCCATGCAGATCTCCTCTAGAGCAGTAGAGCAGTGATGTTTTGGGGCTGTCGCTGGGCAACACAGACTTTCAACTCCCTCCAAAGATTTTCTATGGGGTTGAGATCTGGAGACTGGCTAGGCCACTCCAGGACCTTGAAATGCTTCTTACGAAGCCACTCCTTCGTTGCCCGGGCGGTGTGTTTGGGATCATTGTCATGCTGAAAGACCCAGACACATTTCATCTTCAATGCCCTTGCTGATGGAAGGAGGTTTTCACTCAAAATCTCACGATACATGGCTCCATTCGTTTTTTCCTTTACACGGATCAGTCGTCCTGGTCCCTTTGCAGAAAAACAGCCCCAAAGCATGATGTTTCCACCCCCATGCTTCACAGTAGGTATGGTGTTCTTTGGATGCAACTCAGCATTCTTTGTCCTCCAAACATGACGAGTTGAGTTTTTACCAAAAAGTTATATTTTGGTTTAATCTGACCATATGACATTCTCCCAATCCTCTTCTGGGTCATCCAAATGCACTCTAGCAAACTTCAGACGGGCCTGGACATGTACTGGCTTAAGCAGGGGGACACATCTGGCACTGCAGGATTTGAGTCCCTGGCGGCGTAGTGTGTTACTGATGGTAGGCTTTGTTACTTTGGTCCCAGCTCTCTGCAGGTCATTCACTAGATCCCCCCGTGTGGTTCTGGGAATTTTGCTCACCGTTCTTGTGATAATTTTGACCCCACGGGGTGAGATCTTGCGTGGAGCCCCAGATCAAGGGAGATTATCAGTGGTCTTGTATGTCTTACATTTCCTAATAATTGCTCCCACAGTTGATTTCTTCAAACCAAGCTTCTTACCTATTGCAGATTCAGTCTTCCCAGCCTGGTGCAGGTCTACAATTTAGTTTCTGGTGTCCTTTGACAGCTCTTTGGTCTTGGCCATAGTGGAGTTTGGAGTGTGACTGTTTGAGGTTGTGGACAGGTGTCTTTTATACTGATAACAATTTCAAACAGGTGCCATTAATACAGGTAACGAGTGGAGGACAGAGGAGCCTCTTAAAGAAGAAGTTACAGGTCTGTGAGAGCCAGAAATCTTGCTTGTTTGTAGGTGACCAAATACTTATTTTCCACCATAATTTGCAAATAAATTCATTAAAAATCCTACAATGTGATTTTCTGGAATTTTTAGTTGACGTGTACCTATGATGAAAATTACAGGCCTCTCTCATCCTTTTAAGTGTGAGAACTGGTGGCTGACTAAATACTTTTTTTCCCCACTGTAAATCGACTGATTTCCTTATATGAACTGTAACTCAGTAAAATCTTTGAAATTGTTTCATGTTGTGTTTATATTTTTGTTCAGTATAGTTATAAAGACCAAAGTATGAGTGTGAGTATCACCATGTGGTAGAATATAACGGTTTGGTCTATCATAGCTTTGTGTATTCATATTTCTGGAGACAATGAGATACACTGTAACTGCTATTTGAAAATTATTTTCATCTTTGAATACTGAATGCTGTAAGTACTTTATAGTATCTATAAGAGGCATATTGTAACATCATGGCAGAGCCTAAAGCTGTTATTTTTTCAGCACATGAAACTGCAGAAAATAATACAATTGTGGCAGTATCTGCTGTGTTTTTTTACACAATGGAAGTTTTTTTTTTGTGTGTACTGAATAGTAAACTAGTTCAGGATTTCATTGACTGAATGTCTGACATTGTGTTATCATTCCCAGTAATGTGTAAGCCTGGGGTTTGCCACTGTTCCTCTGGGCTATAATCTCTTCTCTTTGTCTGGAGATCATGTAGTTGGCCCTATCTGCTCCACACAGAACAATGTTTAACTAAATGTTCCAACTGACAGCTCTTATCCACAGCTCTCCCCCTGGTTTGGAGTTAATAGGACATGAAGGCAAGAGAGCTTGGTGTCTAACTGTTCAAGCATCACCCTAGCTGAACTTGCATGCCTGTGGAGAGTTGTAATATCTATGGCACTATGAGTTTCACAGAGAAAGATAGCTTGTAACTGAATTGGGTAAAATAAATCACATTTTACTGCAGCACTGTCCACTGCTTTACTTTATGTTTGTAATCAGAAGCTCTCTGCAAAATGCTTCTGATTTGATTATTGCTACAACATTGAGGTAGATGTGTGCATGCGTGCGTGTGTGTGTGTGTGTGTGTGTGTGTGTGTGTGTGTGTGTGTGTGTGTGTGTGTGTGTGTGTGTGTGCATACGTGTGTGTCTATCATTTAGTGTGCACTTTTCTGATTGTACGTCAGGGCCCTTTTGCGAAACAGGTATCTAACCTCAACCTAATACTCTTAAAATAGTTACCATCAATAAATCATATATTACAATATGTCCTTGAGGGACATCAGTACATTTCTTGAGCCCAGGGACTTTAACAGCCAAGAACTTTAGAGTCAGCATCATACTTGGCCTGGAGCATTAATGAGAATAAACACTAATTCAAACTTCTCCTTTAAATGCAATGAAAAACTGCACATGACAAATTAATATTGTCCACTCATTGATTTACCAGTCATGTCTCAAGACATTTTTACGATGCTCATGACAATTTCTAACACAGAGAAATCATCAGACTCACCTAAATGGTTTGTTATCTCAGTCTTGAATATAGACAACCTTCCCTAAACATGCCTACTCTACACACACACATGCACACACATACTTACTGTATGTCACAGGACGAAATCCTCCAACAAGAGTTGAATACCAAACAGTGTTTCTCTATATTCTTTGTAGAAATTGAACACATTAATGTGATTTTGTAACTAATTATAATAATTCATTTAATTTGTAAAGCGCATTTCTGACACCCAAGGCGTTTAAACTGTGACCGTATTGAACTGTGTAAAGCTCCTTACCTGTCCCATCATCGAGAGGTCCAAAGTGACAGATCTCCCTGATCTGACTGACCCAACTGTTCATCTCTTCCTCAGTCTTGGCCACCAGGTAGAAAATGCGAGACGACGTCTTGACAACAAATATGTGCTGGTTCTGGAACTCCCTCTTGACCAGGCGTTGCTCCATCTGCATCTGAACCTCACACTCTCTCAGGTCGATGGTGCGGATGGGCTTCTTTGAGGTCGTGTTTCGGTAGTACTCCAACACATCTGCGTTCCCACTCATACGTCCTCTTCGAAGAACAAACCATCGCCTCCTCCATGCCTAGGATACAGGGAGCCAGACAGATCAACATACTGTACTGTTGCATGTATTAATAGACTTAAGTAATAAGGCCCGAGGGTGTGTGGTATATTTTATTTAACCAGGCAAGTCAGTTAAGAACAAATTCTTATTTACAATGACGGCCTACACCGGCCAAACCCGGACGACGCTGGGCCAATTGTGCGCCGCTCTATGGGACTCCCAATCACGGCCGGTTGTGATACAGCCTGGAATCAAACCAGGGGGTCTGTAGTGACGCCTCAAGCACTGAGATGCAGTGCCTTAGACCGCTGTGCCACTCGGGAGCCCTATATGGCCAATATAACACGGCTAAGGGCTGTTTTTATGCACGACGCAACACGGAGTGCCTGGACACAGCCCTTAGCCATGGTATATTGGCCATACAGTGGCTTATGAAAGTATTCACCCCCCTTGGCATTTTTCCTATATTTGTATCATTTGATTTACACAACATGCCTACCACTTTGAAGATGCAAAATATTTTTTATTGTGAAACAAACAGAAGTAAGAAAAAAAAACAGAAAACTTGAGCGTAAATCAATACTTTGTAGAGCCACCTTTTGCAGCAATTACAGCTGCAAGTCTCTTGGGGTATGTCTCTATAAGCTTGGCACATCTAGTCATCGACCCCCCGTGTAGCTCAGTTGGTAGAGCATGGCACTTGCAACGCAAGGGTTGTGGGTTCGATTCCCACGGGGGGCCAGTATGAAAATGTATGCACTCACTGAACTGTAAGTCGCTCTGGATAAGAGCGTCTGTTAAATGACTAAAATGTAAAAATGTAGCCACTGGGATTTTTGCCCATTCTTCAAGGCAAAACTGCTCCAGCTCCTTCAAGTTGGATGGGTTCCGCTGGGGTACAGCAATCTTTAAGTCATACCACAGATTCTGAATTGGATTGCGGTCTGGGCTTTGACTAGGCCATTCCAAGACATTTAAATGTTTCCCCTTAAACCACTCAAGTGTTGCTTTAGCAGTATGCTTAGGGTCATTGTCCTGCTGGAAGGTGAACCTCCGTCCCAGTCTCAAATCTCTGGAAGACTGAAACAGGTTTCCCTCAAGAATGTCCCTGTATTTAGCGCCATCCATCATTCCTTCAATTCTGACCAGTTTCCCAGTCCCTGCCGATGAAAAACATCCCCACAGCATGATACTGCCACCACCATGCTTCACTGGATGGTGTTCTCGGGGTGATGAGAGGTGTTGGGTTTGCGCCAGACATAGCGTTTTCCTTGATGGCCAAAAAGCTCAATTTTAGTCTCATCTGACCAGAGTACCTTCTCTTTTGGTGAACACCAAACGTGTTTGCTTATTTTTTTCTTTAAGCAATGGCTTTTTTCTGGCCACTCTTCCGTAAAGGCCAGCTCTGTGGAGTGTATGGCTTAAAGTGGTCCTATGGACAGATACACCAATCTCCTCTGTGGAGCTTTGCAGCTCCTTCAGGGTTATCTTTGGTGTCTTTGTTGCCTCTCTGATTAATGCCCTCCTTGCCTGGTCTGTGAGTTTTGGTGGGCGGCCCGCTCTTGGCAGGTTTGTTGTGGTGCCATATTCTTTCCATTTTTTAATAATGGATTTAATAGTGCTCCGTTGGATGTTCAAAGTTTCGGATATTTTTTTATAACCCAACCCTGATCTGTACTTCTCCATAACTTTGTCCCTGACCTGTTTGGAGAGCTCCTTGGTCTTCATGGTGCCGCTTGCTTGGTGGTGCCCCTTGCTTAGTGGTGTTGCAGACTCTGGGGCCTTTCAGAACAGGTGTATATATACAGAGATCATGTGACAGATCATGCGACACTTAGGTGGACTTTATTTAACTAATTATGTGACTTCTGAAGGTAATTGGTTGCACCAGATCTTATTTAGGGGCTTCATAGCAAAGGGTGTGAATACATATGCACGCACCACTTTTCCGTTGTTTATTTTGTATAATTTTTTGAAACAAGTTATTTTTTTCATTTCACCTCACCAATTTGGACTATTTTGTGTTTGTCCATTACATGAAATCCAAATAAAAATCAATTTAAATTACAGGTTGTAATGCAACAAAATAGGAAAAACGCCAACGGGGGTGAATACTTTTGCAAGGCACTGTACAGTAGAATAGTTTAGAATACAGTATATACAGATGAGATGAGTAATGCAAGATATGTAAACGTTATTAAAGTGGCCAGTGATTTCTTTGTCAGTGGGCAAACGTACAAAATCAGCAGGGGATCAAATACTTTTTTCCCTCACTGTACATATATGGACGAGCGATGTCAGAGTGGCATGGACTAAGATACAGTAGAATAGTAGAGAATACAGTACATACATATGAGATGAGTAATGCAAGATATGTAAACATTATTAAAAGTTGCTAGTGTTCCATTTCTTAAAGTGGCCAGTGATTTCTAGTCTATGTCTATAGGCAGCAGCCTCTAATGTGCTAGTGAAGGCTATTTAACAGTCTGATGGCCTTGAGATAGAAGCAGTTTTTCAGTCTCTCAGTCCCAGCTTTGATGCACCTGTACTGACCTCGCCTTCTGGATGATAGCGGGGTGAAGAGGCAGTGGCTCGGGTGGTTGTTGTCCTTGATGATCTTTTTGGCCTTCCTGTGACATCGGGTGCTGTAGGTGTCCTGGAGGGCTGGTATGCCCCTGGTGATGCGTTGGGCAGACTGCACCACCCTCTGGAGAGCCCTGCAGTTGCGGGCGGTGCAGTTGTCGTACCAGGCGGTGATATAGCGCGACAGGATGCTCGCAATTGTGCATCTGTAGAGATATTTATTCCTGTCTGTGTGATGAACTGAGAACCCAACTGGCTGGACCGACTCGGACAGTATATCCCGAGAGAGCCATGTTTCCATGAAACAGAGTATGTTACAATCCCTGATGTCTCTCTGGAAAGAAACCCTCACCCTGAGCTCGTCAACTTTATTATCCAGAGACTGAACATTAGCGAGTAATATACTCGGAAGCAGTGGGTGGTTTGCATGCCTCCTAAATCGGACTAGAAGAGCGCTCCGAGTACCTCTCCTCGGCCGGCGTTGTTTTGGGTCGGCCTCTGGAATCAGTTCAATTGCCCTGGGGGGTGCGAACAAAGGATCCGCTTCGGGAAAGTCGTATTCCTGGTCGTAATGCTGGTAGTGCTGGTGAGTTACCGCCGCTCTGATATCCAATAGTTCATACCGGCTGTATGTAATAACAAAACAAAAATTCTGGGCTAATAACGTAAGAAATAATACATAAAAAACAAAATACTGCAAAGTTTCCTAAGAGCTAGAAGCAAGGCGCCATTATCAGTGAACAATCTGAGCATGGTAGCTCAATACAGATTTTTTTTAACTATTTTTATGTCCCCTGACCGTGACTAAAGATGATTTGTACAAAGCACTGTCTTATATCCTCATGTAGTCTCCAGCATTGTGACCTGTGTCAATCAGTTTGTCACACACAATTAATCGTGGAACATACAAGGAAAATGTATGACTGCTCTTCTGAACATGTTCAGTGGCAAGTTTAGCTACAAAACCTTAATTTACCTCAACTATAGACAACACCCTTTTTCTTGCTTTTGGTACTGGAACTGACAACAATATTACCCAGAAGTGCTGAGAAGAGTAAGTTAATTCTATGTCAAAAAGAATGTCTGACACGAACAAAAACCTATTTGTATTGCAGTGGGTCACTAACTTATTGGGGACTTATTGGGGAAGATTAAAAAGGCAACCTCTTTTTCTGCTGATATGGGTTTTTCATGCCAGTATGGATACTGATTGGTATAGGAGGGGTTTTGTTTTCTGTAATGCTATGGGAATTTGATGCTTAGCTGGCACTCTTCATTTTGATACTGAATAAGTAGGCCTAAATGAAGTATTGTTAATGTTTTGGTCTTGATCGTGATGACCTCATGGTCACTCACATGGGCTATGAGTCATAGGTCCATCTATATTCTAACTGTCAAATATTCATGACTGACCTCAATACTATGTCTGTTTCAAACTTCACCCATGTATTATTTAAAGCCATTTCCAATTCCACCTTTTTAGCAGGAGTTGTACATTTTTGTACCGTTGCCTCATAAATTCAGCATTCAGGTGATTCATATGCATTATTCAATTAGTCAGAAGTCTTTTGGCATGGAACACTAGATGACCTAAAATGAAACAGCAGTTTTTGAGCTTTGAGAGTACATTTGGTGAAACAACCTACCATAAAGAATACGTGATTTGTTTTGAAGAGGCAGAGGTATTAGCAATTTTTCCTATCTCAGTTGACAAAGTAAATGTGTGCTATAACCCACCAGCCACCAATTCGGGAATACATTATATCTCTTTGTGATGATCTTTCTAGAGAGTTATGAACATGCTCAGACTGTTTGTTTGTTTGTTTGTTTAAAACCAAAACTCTGGCTTGGTGTGCCTATACTATTCAAATCAACCATAAACAGTGGACGAGTTGCAAATCCTAATTTGCATCACACAGTGCTAGTAGAGAGCAGAGAGACAGAAAGCAGGGAAGCTCATGTCCCTCATCAGTGGTACATTTTCAGAGTGTCAAATCACATTTAAAATGCATAATGTGAGAATAATTAACCCGCTAACGGGAAATATACTCACGCTCTAGAAACCTCTATAGAATCATGCATGAAAACACTTCCTTGTTGTGGGTGATAACTACCTTATTGAGCGTGAGCTCAACTCTGCTGTAAAATAAACTAGGCCTATTCTATTGAGAATGATGTTTCAATTTCTAAATCATAATATTTTTGTTTGGATCATGTTCCCCCATGATATTCTGTATAACACTATTATTATGTTATATAGAAAATGTGAACATATTACTATTTTACCTTACATTCTTTTTTTTACCCTTGTTTACAACAGCATGGGCCACTAGCAATGGTAGCTGTGACCTCTGTGTTGGAGAATTTTAACTGTCTGTGACTTACACTCTGATTATCTGAGTCTGATCATCAATGTTTCTAAGAGCTACCTGCTCTGGGCCGTCACTTGGTGTGTGTAAGGAGTCCAACGTATGCCCACACACTTTGCTGTTGAGTTTGGCTAGTCTGGTCCTTGCAATGGAAAACCATTTCCTTCCTGTTTGTCTGTGTCCTCCACAAAGCCCTTGAACTATTTCCCACCAAATTGTGTCTCTTAAGTGACTCTCCCTCCAGTGAATTATCACTGCCCCCCTTTCTCTGTGCTAGTTTTCAGAAAAGCCCTCCTCCTCTCTCCTCTGTAGAGAGGAAGTGCAAACAGCCATCATAAAGCCTGGTCATTTCATACTGCTAGGCAGTGACAGTACTTCCCATGTTTTGCAATACCTCCCAAATTTTCACAGAATGAGAGACCAACAGTCACAATACACATCCCAGAATGGGTAGCCTCCCCCTTTCCTCCATACACAACACAACAACACTCTCACATGACCCCTACAGAAACACTGCAGATTGCCATGCAAGGCACTTGTCTCAGTTCACTTCTGGTCAAACACGCTAATCCAGACATGTTAGCATTAGAGTATACTGCACTTGAATTATTAATAAGAGGCAACCCCATTTGCAAATTATGAAATTCTAAACAAAGTTCAAAATTGTAAACATAATGGTTTATAAGCAGTTTCTATGTTTCAAATACATTTGCATTTGCTGAAGGGCATCAACATTTTATTTTCAGCATGACCAGCATGTCATACAGTATGTAATTAATGGTCACTACTATAAAAATGAGGAGGAAAACACAGGTGAGGTTGCATGAAAACACTGTTTACAAAAAGGCATGTAATGGTCATGATTCTACATGCCTCTACAAGCTTCATTTCGGAAAATAAACCAACAGTATCTTGTGAACTAACGGCATTGCAGTGCAGTTGTGTTGATGGCTGAGAATCCCACACATACACACTGCTCTGCAGCAGGAACTGGTACTACTACTGCTTGGGTAAAATGCATCAGAATAGCACAGAAGCCAGCCACCCGCCCAGCCTGTTCCCCTACTCACATATCTCTTTAGTTTCTTCTCAGGGGGAGATTTGATGAGCCAGCCGGTGCAGACCACATCCCCTGCACTCATCTTGACTGCAGAGGGAATCCGGCGTGTTTTCTAGATATAATTGTCTTCAAGCACTGCTGGCTGCTGCTGCTGCTGTGAAACTGAGAGCAGCACCAGGCGAATCCTGTGTTCTTGTATACAGCCTACAGCCTTAGCAAAAAGAGGAAGTCAAGCCATTGATCACACTGACAGACAAGGGTAAGAGGGAGAGAGAGAAAGAGAGAGAGAGAGAGAGAGAGAGAGAGAGAGAGAGAGAGAGAGAGAGAGAGAGAGAGAGAGAGAGAGAGAGAGAGAGAGAGACGAGAGAGAGAGGAGAGAGAGACGAGAGGAGGAGAGAGAGAGAGAGAGAGGAGAGGGGGGGGGGGAGAAAGAGAGAGGAAAAGAAAGAGAGAGGAAGGGAGAGAGGGGGTGGTGTGTGTATGCTTGAGTCTGTAGATGTGTGTGGGTCTGACAGAGTGAGTGAGTGAGTGAGTGAGAGAGAGATAGGGAGAGAGAGAGAGCAAGAGAGAGCAAGAGAGAGCAAGAGAGAGAGAGAGAGAGAGAGAGAGAGAGAGAGAGAGAGAGAGAGAGAGAGAGGAACATGTATGTGAACTTGTATATGTGTGTGCATCATTAAAACCCAGTGTACTTGTAGGTCCAGCACATGAGCAAGATATTTTCTAAACAGAGCAGCACGCATGTGGATGATCTGTAGATGAAATGTGTCTGGCTGAAAAGTGCTGTGGAGGGAGCCAGCTGTCACATAAAACCATCCCAATGTTCTCTGTCTTAGTCAGAATAACGGTATGCACCAAAAGAACATCCTTGGTCGTAGAACAATAACCAAATCAATAAGAGGTTACCATTTACTTATGTTATTTTGTTTGTGCAAGTTAAATACACTAATAGAGAAAACAAATAACACACTTTGGGGATGCATTTAAATTCTACAAAAACCTTTGAAACCTAAAACGCCTTGTACAATAGGCTAGTTGTAGGGGGAAATGAAGAAACTAGAGCATAACTGTATTGATTAAGGTTAATTTAGTGAAGCGATATCTTGCTATAATTTAGAAAAAAATAAATAAAAGGCTCTGTTGGTCTAAGGCCACGTGATTTAGGGCTCAAGAAGATTGTTTTGAAAATATATCAATTAAATGGTCTAGCTTGCCTACTTCAGAACACAAGGCTGGTGAACGAGACGGTTATAAATGCTTGTCCCTGATCGCCATCTTGTGGTAGATATCCAGCAGACCTCATTTCAACAAATGAAATACACAATAACAACCCAAGAAAGAAAAGCAGGTCCTTTTACTTCATTGTTTATGTTTTTGTTACCATAGGATAGCTTATGTTATATAAAAAAAAGATGTATAGTTTAAAATGATGTTAAAAAAGTAATGTTGTTCTCATGGATTGTTATTCCCTGAGAACTAGATAGGCCTATGTCATATAAATAAAGTGCTATGCATGTGACAATGTCATGGGAGGCATTTGCTCCATTGTTTTCGTTGATGCCCACTCTTTGAAGATATAAATATATTAAAGACAAAAACAAAATGTATTATTATAATATGATGTGTAATAATACACATTTTCTGTATGTAAGGGATAATCAACAAGAGGCTATGCGTTCTATGGAAAATAATGTCGAACGATGTGGAAGGTGTGTACCACAACCAGCTAGTTGCATTATTTTCCAGAGAATGCATAGAGAGAGACACGATTTGATTATCCCTTTTATACAATGGCTATAATGTAACACATTTGCCTCTAGAAATGTGTTCAACATCCACTGAAGTAGCTTGAAAGTTAACTAGACATCGACAGTAGTTGCCTTGGTAACCAAACAAACAGACTCGCCAGTTTAGCTAACCAAACCATCAGTCTTATGAAAATTCAATTCAACAGTGCCAATAATGTTTTCAATTCAACTTTTGCTTTAAATGGCAGCTCAAACATATAACATGTAATACTGAACTATAACCATTGAATTCTACCATGCAAATATATATTGTGTTATTTAAGCAATAAGGCCAGAGGGGGTGTGGTATATGGCCAATATACCATGGCTAAGGGCTGTATCAAGGCACTCTGGGTTGCGTCTGCATAAGAACAGCCCTTAGCCGTGATATATTGGCCATATACCCCCTCATGCCTTATTGCTTAAATAAAATAGGCCTACCCATATTATTTCGAACGTTCTAGTGGCATAAATGGTGTTATCGCGGTATTTCATTGCTATATACTCGCGAGATATTATGAAGGGGGCGTATGCTCACAATGTACAGTCTATCTAATAACGTAGCAAGCCTGTTTGCCATGTATAACTTACACAGTCTGGTCTAAAATAACTCATGATAAAAACCGCGTCCACAGAATGTCAGATGAAGAGATTCCTTCCACTTCCAGAGAGCCTGTACCCGAAGAAGTAGAGGTGAGCATTTAAAAGCAGACATCTTCTTTTCAGAAATATGAGATACACTGTACTGTTAGGAAGCTAGAAGTTTGCAGTTTTGTTCAATTGGGGGGGGGGGGGGGCATGGCGGGAAGGAGGCTTGCACATCTGCATAGCTCTCTTACAGATGTTAGCTAGCTACCAGGTCAGACGCTAGCCTGGCCAGCAAACATAACAATGGTTTTCGTCGTGCAATTCATAGACATTTAGCCAATATTCCCGTAGACTTCTAAATGCTGCCAATTTGTAGCCAGCATGACAAGCTTCGGAGTCCCAGACTGAGCCACTGACTGTACAGTAGCTGTAGCCCAGGCAGCGCAACAGACGCAGCCTCCAACAAATCAGCTGTCTCTTTCAACACTGGCTGTTTTGCTTTGGGGATCGTCAAGTTGGCTATAGCTAGCTACAGTAGCTATGTAATATGTTTTATGAAGAGCAGGCTAACATTAGAGATGAAGCTAAATGCTTGAACTTCAGAAGGCATAACTTTTTGCACATTTTGTAATACATTTTGAGCACTCAATATGTGAACTTGCACAAAATTGATTATTAAATTGATTGCACAAGCGTCACATGAAGCCAACTTGCAACCAAAACCATAATCTATATTGATTAAATATGTAGAATAATGTTGCATTAATTCAGAGGAAATTATATACAATACACAACAAATTCCCGTAATAGGATCACTGAAATAGCCAAATGAAATTGTTTTAAATTGCACATTACATTGATTAAATGTTACCGAATCAAATGCCAAATAAATATGTACAGTACGTTGAGAATGTCATAAAGTGGTCTACTGTGTTTCAGCTGAAGCCACCTCTGAAGGCTGTGCCCAAGGCTGAGGGAGAGTTGGATCCAGAGTATGAGGAGAAAAGGGTGAGACGAATTGCTTTCTCACAAACACTCTCTATAGATATATAAATAGGATTCATTTGAGATTTTAAGATGCATTTGCAAGAAAAATATGACAATAGGGATTATCACCTCACACAGACTAGTCACATCGTTGGTTGAATTCTGTGCCAGATATTTTATATATTTATTTTTCTCCAACTTTTGCAATGGGCTCCCCACTGTGGTAAATGTGGGGAATTGCAGTGTGTAGTGAGACTGCAGTGTATAGGGAAAGTGAATGGCAAAATAACAGTTTAGCATAACATTGATCTCATATCCTTACTAGTAAAACATAACCTGTTGGTTTAACTTAGTATTTTTCCCCTGTCTTTTTATCATAGAAAACAGATAGAGCGAACCGGTTTGAGTTTCTGCTCAAGCAAACAGAACTCTTTGCCCACTTCATCCAGCCTGCGTCTCAGAAGACTCCTACTTCACCCCTGAAAGTGAAACCTGGACGACCTCGCGTTAAACAGGACGAGAAACAAAATCTCCTCTCTGTTGGAGAGTATGTGACTGCTGACTTGTTTTAAGGGTCCTGACTTTATTTTTATATTTTCGAAACGACAGGTCTATGTTATTTTAAATAAACAAGTTATATTGGTCAATAAACCATTTTACATTTACATTTAAGTCATTTAGCAGATTGGTGCATGAATAATAAACAATACAATCTGTTTACCATTGTATCAATATTTACTATTGAAGATATCATTCTTTTTACAAACTATTTGTCTGCCACCTGTGTTTTTACAGTAACCGCCACCGACGCACGGAACAAGAAGAAGATGAGGAGTTGTTATCTGAGAGCCGGAAGGCAGCTAACGTCTTGGTTCGCTTTGAAGAGTCCCCATCCTGTATGATGTTTTCATATAGCTTTTAAATGCTCTTTTTAATGCTCAGCGCTCCGTGTAAATGAACGGTAGAAGGTGTTGTATTCGATCAGGTGTATACCTTTAATCCTAATTAGCTCCCATTTGAGAACAGCTGACGATGGATACGAGTATCATTTAGTTTTTTTTCATTAACCTTTTACCACAGTGGGCTAAATCAGGGTCACACAGAGTGATTCTTGGTAGTCTTAAACAAATCTACTTTGAAACAAAAATATATACAGTGAGGGAAAAAAGTATTTGATCCCCTGCTGATTTTGTACGTTTGCCCACTGACAAAGAAATGATCAGTCTATAATTTTAATGGTAGGTTTATTTGAACAGTGAGAGACAGAATAACGCATGTTAAATTTTTTTATACATTTATTTGCATTTTAATGAGGGAAATAAGTATTTGACCCCTCTGCAAAACATTACTTAGTACTTGGTGGCAAAACCCTTGTTGGCAATCACAGAGGTCAGACGTTTCTTGTAGTTGGCCACCAGGTTTGCATACATCTCAGGAGGGATTTTGTCCCACTCCTCTTTGCAGATCTTCTCCAAGTCATTAAGGTTTCGAGGCTGACGTTTGGCAACTCGAACCTTCAGCTCCCTCCACAGATTTTCTATGGGATTAAGGTCTGGAGACTGGCTAGGCCACTCCAGGACCTTAATGTGCTTCTTCTTGAGCCACTCCTTTGTTGCCTTGGCCGTGTGTTTTGGGTCATTGTCATACTGGAATACCCATCCACGACCCATTTTCAATGCCCTGGCTGAGGGAAGGGGGTTCTCACCCAAGATTTGACGGTACATGGCCCCGTCCATCGTCCCTTTGATGCGGTGAAGTTGTCCTGTCCCCTTAGCAGAAAAACACCCCCAAAGCATAATGTTTCCACCTCCATGTTTGATGGTGGGGATGGTGTTCTTGGGGGTCATAGGCAGCATTCCTCCTCCTCCAAACACGGCGAGTTGAGTTGATGCCAAAGAGCTCCATTTTGGTCTCATCTGACCACAACACTTTCACCCAGTTCTCCTCTGAATCATTCAGATGTTCATTGGCCAACTTCAGACGGGCATGTATATGTGCTTTCTTGAGCAGGGGGACCTTGCGGGCGCTGCAGGATTTCAGTCCTTCACAGCGTAGTGTGTTACCAATTGTTTTCTTGGTGACTATGGTCCCAGCTGCCTTGAGATCATTGACAAGATCCTCCCGTGTAGTTCTGGGCTGATTCCTCACCGTTCTCATGATCATTGCAACTCCACGAGGTGAGATCTTGCATGGAGCCCCAGGCCGAGGGAGATTGACAGTTATTTTGTGTTTCTTCCATTTGCGAATAATCGCACCAACTGTTGTCACCTTCTCACCAAGCTGCTTGGCGATGGTCTTGTAGCCCATTCCAGCCTTGTGTAGGTCTACAATCTTGTCCCTGACATCCTTGGAGAGCTCTTTGGTCTTGGCCATGGTGGAGAGTTTGGAATCTGATTGACTGATTGCTTCTGTGGACAGGTGTCTTTTATACAGGTAACAAGCTGAGATTAGGAGCACTCCCTTTAAGAGTGTGCTCCTAATCTCAGCTTGTTACCTGTATAAAAGACACCTGGGAGCCAGAAATCTTTCTGATTGAGAGGGGGTCAAATACTTATTTCCCTCATTAAAATGCAAATCAATTTATAACATTTTTGACATGCGTTTTTCTGGATTTTTGTTGTTGTTATTCTGTCTGTCACTGTTCAAATAAACCTACCATTACAATTATAGACTGATCATTTCTTTGTCAGTGGGCAAACGTACAAAATCAGCAGGGGATCAAATACTTTTTTCCCTCACTGTACCTCACACACATGGATGGTTATGAGCTTAAAAAATATAAGACACCTGAACCATGTCAGATATAGAGTTGAAATGTATCCCAATATTACACTTTATATACATCACAGAAGACTGAAATATAACAAAACAGTTTGACATAGAAACACCGGATCTTCATTGTAGTTTTAGAGGGGTGCTTTTGGTCATTGACTACAGGAAAGGGCTACTGACATAACCTATTTGATTTTCCAGATGTGAAAAATGGAGAGCTGAGAGATTACCAAGTCAGAGGTCTCAACTGGATGATCTCCCTTTATGAAAATGGCATTAATGGAATCCTGGCTGATGAAATGGTAACGACTGTACCATAAACATGCAATTAACAATAGTTTATGTTTACTTGCCTACATTAAGTGCCAGAGCCTTATATTGAGATAAATATGTATATTATATCTATATCCAAATTTAAGTCTCTGGTAAGTGCCACTGGTTGTGAGTCAAGCTGTGTATGACAGGTTGTTTATTTAAGCAATAAGGCCCGAGGAGGTGTGGTATATGGCCAATATACCACAACTAATATGAGACGCAACGTGAAGTGCCTGGATATAGCCCTTAGCCGTGGTATATTGGCCATATATCACAAACCCAAAGGTGCCTTATTGCTATTATAAACTGGTTACCAACGTAATTAGAATAGTAAAAATAACTGTTTTGTCATACCCGTGGTATACGGTTTGATATACCACTGCTGTCAGCCAATCAGCATTCAGGGCTCGAACCACCCAGTTCATAATTGTGTATTGACAACAGGGCTTGGGGAAGACCCTCCAAACCATTGCGTTGCTGGGATACCTGAAGCACTACAGGAACATTCCAGGCCCCCACATGGTTCTGGTTCCCAAATCAACGCTACACAACTGGATGAATGAGTTCAAACGCTGGGTACCAACCCTTAAGGCAGTCTGTCTCATCGGGGACAGGGATGCAAGAGTATGTCCTGTTTTTTCTCTTGATTGACACTGATTGAAAATGTGCCCTCTTATAAAGCATTATCAGGTGGGTAGGTAACCAAGACCACAGATGATTCCTTTGACAAATGTTCTCCTTATTGGCCAGGCGGCGTTCATCCGTGATGTCATGATGCCAGGGGAATGGGATGTTTGTGTCACATCCTATGAGATGGTCATCAGAGAGAAATCGGTCTTCAAGAAGTTCAACTGGAGATACCTTGTCATCGACGAAGCTCACAGGATCAAAAATGAGAAGTCCAAGGTATGAACACGAATGAAAATAATTGAGGGTTGAACCAAGTTTTTCTTTCTACTTTTCAGTAAAAATGTATTTTTTATGATATTTATGTAATCTTAACATATGTCCGGTGTTGTCAGCTCTCAGAGATTGTCCGTGAGTTCAAAACCACCAACCGTCTCCTCCTGACTGGGACGCCTCTGCAGAACAACCTCCATGAGCTGTGGTCACTCCTCAACTTCCTGCTACCTGATGTCTTCAACTCTGCCAACGTGAGTGCTGCCTCTGTCTGTTCTCTCCATTTATTTCTCTAGTAGTGATATTCCTCTCCTTTAGATGAATGTGACTGGAATACTAAATCGAGGAAGAAAATAAAATCATATCGCTCCAGGCAAAATGAACTGCATTATTTTGTTGTTTTGTATCAAAAGACCCTCCAGCAGTAACTTAATGTTTTTTGTTGTTCCATTTTACACCACCTAGTTTCAATGAACATCAGTCAATCACTGAAGTCCTCAGCCCCACCTGACTTGCTTCTTGTCTTTCCATGATGTGTCAGAGAGGGAAAGGTAGCCCCGAGCACAGGCCTCCCCCTCAGGCACTACTCTGTTCTGTTGTCAGTTCCTCCCAGTTTGTCTGGGATCCCTCGAACCCACAGGCTGTAGCTTATCATTTGTATCCTGTCCTTTCTCTAACACATTCCCCTCTGCAAATGAAGCCAAAGCAGAATCATCTTTACTCTCTTTTTTTTCTGCAAAATAAACTTTTGCACTTTCATGGAAAATCTTTACTCGTTGAAAACAAAAGGAACATGTTCTTATATTCTCAGGACTTTGATTCTTGGTTTGACACCAACAACTGTCTGGGGGACCAGAAGCTGGTGGAGCGTCTGCATGCGGTAAGCTGTGTTTCACATTTCCATTACGCTCAGAGAGTTCACTGCAGAATTCCCCTTATCTATTATTCTGTTGAGTTAATACATGGATAAAAAAAATATATATTTAGTTAGAAAAGCATTTGCCTTGGTAATGTGCTGTTTGTTCTAGAGCCCGACTGATATATCAGTTCACTGATATTATCATCCGATATTGGCCTTTTAAACGCGACCCATGGGGCGGCGCACAATTGGCCCAGCGTCGACCAGGGTAGGGGAGGGAATGGCCGGCAGGGATGTAGCTCAGTTGGAAGAGCATGGCGTTTGCAACGCCAGGGTTGTGGGTTCGATTCCCATGGGGGGCCAGTATGAAAAATAAAACAATAATGTATGCACTCACTAACTGTAAGTCGCTCTGGATAAGAGCATCTGCTAAATTACTTAAATGTAAATGTAAATATCACTATCTGCTGATAATTCAACAGATAACCGATATTCAATAAATAGGATGAAAAAAGGGAATCACATGCTTATCTGAACACTTGTGGCCATTCTCATGATGTCATTATTGTCACTATGTAAGAAATCAACATTTGAAGCATATTTATTGGACAATTGGTCTTTTGGATGGCAATTTATGAGAAATCAGTGTGGGAAAATTTCCCCGCTGTAAAACAGTATATCGGCAGATATATCGGTATCGGTAAGTTTTTCCCCAAAAAAAATCGGAATCGGTATCGGACCCAATTAAACATATCTGCCAGGCTCTAGTTTCTTCAGGTGCTGAGGCCTTTCCTTCTTGTGTAATGTGCTGTTTGTTCAGGTGCTGAGGCCTTTCCTTCTTGTGTAACGTGCTGTTTGTTCAGGTGCTGAGGCCTTTCCTTCTGCGTCGGATAAAAGCTGAAGTGGAGAAAAACCTGCCTCCCAAAAAAGAGGTGAAGATTTACCTTGGACTGAGTAAGATGCAGCGAGAGTGGTATGTTTTTGGTTAAAATACTTTGTCCTTCCTAGTGTTGCCCATAGCTTGTGTTGGTTCAACATTTCTACCAATGAAATTCTTAACAAAATCATTTAAAATGAAACAATGTTTCATTGTTCTATTTTTGTTAGGTACACACGGATTCTGATGAAAGACATTGACATCCTCAATTCTTCTGGAAAAACGGACAAGATGCGTCTGTTGAATATCTTGATGCAGCTGCGGAAGTGCTGCAACCACCCATACCTGTTTGATGGGGCCGAGCCCGGGCCCCCCTACACCACCGACACTCACCTGGTCACCAACAGTGGCAAGATGGTGGCCCTGGACAAACTGCTGCCCAAAGTCCAGGAGCAAGGTGCTACACCCATCATTCAATGATTTTACTGTAGTTTATCCCATCAAAAAATAAGGGGTGAAAAAAAATAAAAAAATACATTCTACATGTATATTTGATGTGTTTATCTCAAAGAGCTTCGATCTGTGGTTGTTACTGTACATGTGCAGTTGTAATAGACTATGCAATAGGTTGTCTATACAAACTCTTGATAGATGGAAGTACATAATGGTCCTTTAAAAGGCAAGGACAACCTCAGAGGATGCAGGCTCAAACGGTTGCTTACTGTTGAAGGATAACAGGATTCACATGTAGAATTTATAATTTTCTTGTGAAGCTTTCTTGATGAGAAAAGTTCATTTGACTCTCAAATCAGCCATGCTCATTTAGAATTACATTAATCAAACCTTCCTCCCATGCAAGAAACCCTATGAATAATTGTCTCTCTTTGGAGATTGCATTTGAGCTATGTGACCTGATAGTGTATGTAGGCTGTTCTGCTCTTTAATGGAATGACTGTATTTTGTCTCATTGGTTGCTAGGGTCTAGAGTCCTCATCTTCAGCCAGATGACCAGGGTCCTTGACATCCTTGAGGACTACTGCATGTGGAGAGGTTATGAGTACTGCCGTCTAGATGGAAACACTCCACACGAAGCCAGACAGGTACAGGGCATGACTTCAGCTGATGAGGTCTCTTTGACCACAACACAGGCTCCCATGGAAACCATAAGGAGCTATAGTGGAACAGTTCAATCACAGTTCAATCAAACCAACCATGGTCTTTAGTTTAAGCCACTACTTTGTCTACTGTGCTCGTACTGACCCTGCTTGTAAAATGTAAAAATGTTTGCTCTAATGTGTAAAGTGTCTTTACTTCAACTACATAAAAACTACTGATATTTTAGACATTATCTAACTAATGCTTTATGGCACAGGTGTCAAACTCGTTCCACGGAGGGCAGAGTATCTGCAGTTATTCGCTCCTCCCTTGTTCTTGATTGATGAAATAAGGTCACTAATTAGTAAGGAACTCCCCTCACCTGGTTGTCTAGGACTTTTGAAAGGAAAAAAACAAAACCTGCAGACACTAGGCCCACCATGGAATGAGTTTGACACCCCTGCTTTATGGCCATGTTTCTAGGAAGCCATAGAGGCTTACAATGCTGAAAACAGCAGCAAGTTCATTTTCATGTTGAGCACCAGAGCTGGAGGTCTGGGCATTAACCTGGCAACTGCAGATGTTGTCATCCTGTATGACTCTGACTGGAACCCTCAAGTGGACCTGCAAGCAATGGTGAGAAACATTTCATGTGTGGATTCCTTGGAAACTTACTTCTATATATTAAGACTTTGGAAAAGTAATTATTGGTCATTTAGTGTGAAATTCTGTCATGCATACAAAAATACTTGTAATGTTAATTTATAACACTGGCTTGTATCTTGTCTTGTACTTATAAAAAGTGTATTTCTTGTTTCAAAGAAATAGATACCTCATCAACTGAGCCAATCGGTGTGTTTGTTTTTGCCTCTCTAGGACAGGGCTCATAGAATTGGTCAGAAGAAACCTGTGCGAGTGTTCCGCCTCATCACTGATAATACAGTCGAAGAGAGGATTGTCGAGAGAGCTGAGATGAAGTTGAGGCTAGACTCCATAGTTATACAACAAGGTATTCAGCATGGTTTTGATTCCAACTTCATGGTTTGTCATTACATAGCCTTCAAATCCCTTAAATGTGGCCATATCTTTGTTATTTGGACTCGTAGCAAACAGAAAATCTGACTTGAATTTGTTCTGTGGCCCCTATCACTAAAGTGTTGTTAAGCAATGGTCTTTGGGACAGGTAAGACAGACAGACCTTGGTTAGGCTTGGGACAAAATGAAACCACATGCATGTATGTATACAGATCACACAAGGTTGGTGGCATCTTAACTGGAGAGGACAGGCTTGTGGTAATGGCTGAAGCGGAATGAGTGAAATGGTATCAAATACATCAAACACATGGTTTCCATGGTTTCCATGTGTTTGATTCCATGTGTTTGATTCCATTCCAGCCATTATTATGAACCGTCCTCCCCTCAGCAGCCTGCTGTGATACAGATACTAGTATCAGTTTACAGAAGGATCTAGACCCTGAGACATGAATGGAAGAGGCTGCTGCAGGGTACATTCAGTCCCACACCCCAACTACTTCTCACATCTTTCAACTTTCCAGGGAGGCTGATGGAGCAGTCCAACAAACTAGGGAAAGATGAGATGCTGCAGATGATCAGGCATGGGGCCACTCACGTCTTCGCCTCCAAAGACAATGAGCTCACGGACGAAGACATCAACACTATCTTAGAGAGGGGGGCAAAGAAGGTGGGTGAGGGATCAGCACATAGTGTTTGGTTGACAGACTGGCTCTGTGCTGTGCTGACCTGCCCTTTTGACCTGTCCTAGACGGCTGAGATGAACGAGCGCATGGAGTCTCTGGGAGAGAGCTCGCTCAGGAACTTCTCTGTGGACACCGGAGGAGCAGAGACCAGCCTCTACAACTTTGAAGGGGAGGACTACAGAGAGAAGCAAAAGGTATCAAATTACTACATGCTTTGTCATGACTCATGACCTGTTAATAGCATCAAAGAGAAGCTTGAGATAATACAGTGCTTTGATTAGCTAGTTCCCTTGTGCCTCAGGTTGATTTTCATCTCAATTATTGAACTTTGTGAATACTGTGTGATAGAGGTAGGGATGACGTGCAGAGTATGCTATTCATAGATGCTTATGACATAAACTTTATGAAACCACAGTAACCATGAAATGAGGCGTGGCCTTGTTTTGTAGCTGAGTATGATGGAATGGATCGAGCCTCCTAAAAGAGAGAGGAAAGCCAACTATGCGGTGGATGCCTACTTCAGAGAAGCCCTGCGTGTCAGTGAACCTCGAGCCCCCAAGGTAACGCCCACTCACAGATTAAGCACACAGAAACTTCAGGGGCTGCCCCCATGTTCATGGGTGAGTTGCTAGTCTGTAGCCAATCATTTGTCTTATTTCCCCCTTCTTCCAAATTATGATGGCCAGTCAAGTCAGGAAGACAGAATTGATGTCCATGGAAGTGGTGCACATGTTAATCTTGCTCACCAGAACATGATTGATAATGATGAATGTATTTCAGGCCCCACGTCCCCCCAAACAGCCCAACATCCAGGACTTCCAGTTCTTTCCCCCTCGCCTGTTTGAGCTGCTGGAGATGGAGATCCTTTACTACAGGAAGACTATAGGCTACAAGGTAAGAGAGCTGTAGTTAAGTTCATTGTCTGATGGATAAAGAAAGTGTGCCCATGTTGACTTATGTACAGTAGCTTTTAACATGGCCATTTATAGTAATGTATTTTGGTTTCCTGCACATGGTATTGTGACTGGAATGTCACATCTTGCTGGTTCTATTTTACTGAAACAATTTACAAAGTTGAATATTTAAAAACAACATTTTGAAATCTATTGGCTTGGGCTTTCACAGAACCAACATGTTACTCATGGGAGTGGTGGATAGAGTCCATAGAAGTGTGTCTCAACTCTGACATTTGTGAGCAGCATCCCAAGTGCTTAGCTGTGCCGAGGCACTCGCTGCCAAGGCAGACTGCTGAACTGAGACAGATTGGAGCTTGTGCTCCTCTATGGTGCCAGAACCACAGAACACACACACATACATTCCCCCTATGCCACCTGATCCCAGGGTACATCTGCTCAGTTAGTCTGCTTCCCCAACAGGCCTGTCTATCGCTTCACCCAGCCTTAGCGGTCTCTCGCCTAGCCTCGTAGCGAGAGACGGAGCTGTTCAGTGTTATGTCTCATCGGAGCTGTCTCTAATAGGAGCTGTGTCTGTTCTCTCTCCTGTGCTGCTGCAGGTCCCCAGGAGCCCTGACATTCCCAACTCTGCCCAGGTGCAGAAGGAGGAGCAGAGGAAGATTGACGAGGCGGGGCCCCTCAGTCCTGGGGAGACTGAGGAGAAGGAGAAACTACTCACACAGGTACTGCAGGGCGCTAGGCGAGACACAACTTTCTAGATTCCTGCGTTCATTATTTTAGTAAGATCCCTATTTGTTTGTCACAAAAAGTGCCACATTATTGGACATTCTAAAGCTTGTATCTAACAAGTGCTGTGTTTGTGGTGAATATTGTTTCGCAGGGGTTCACAAGTTGGAACAAGCGAGATTTCAATCAGTTCATTAAAGCCAATGAGAAATATGGCCGTGATGACATCGACAACATCGCTCGGGAAGTCGAGGGGAAAAACCCAGAGGAAGTCATTGAATATTCTGGTAAGATACCGGTCCTCATCATAATTATTCCATTATAATTGTGTTTCCTATAGACCCATTCTTGTATCTGTTTCAAATAACCATGGTTATTACGGCTTATATCTTTTTCTATGCTCCACACTAGCTCTTTCAAACATGTTCTTGATTTATTTTCAAGCCATTTTCTGGGAGCGGTGCAATGAACTCCAGGATATTGAAAAAATCATGGCCCAGATCGAGCGTGGCGAGGCCCGTATCCAAAGGAGGATCAGCATTAAGAAGGCGCTGGATGCTAAGGTGAACTACTGTACTTCATTCATTTCTATTGGGCACAAAATCATCTGAAACACAACCAAAACAAACAGCAAATGCATCCAAAATGTGTAGAAACACAAGGTTGAAGTAGTCATTGCGTGCTATGAATATGGGAACAAATACTGAACTTTTTACTACTTTAATACACATGTAAGTGAATTTGTCCCAATACTTTTACTCCCCTAAAATGGGGGGACTATGTACAAACAGTGCTGTAATTTCTAAACGTTTTACCCGATATGGATGGAAATACCCTCAAATTAAAGCTGACAGTCTGCACTTTAACCTCATAGTCATTGTTTGATTTCAAATCCAACCCTATAGAGCCAAAATAAGTAAAAATGCTTCACTGTCCCAATAATTATGGAGGGCACTGTATTTTCCATGGTAGATACTCTGGAAATTACATATTTGAATTTGCTACTAGCAACCTTTATTTGAGAATGCTCCAAGATTACTTTTTTTTTTTTTCAAATTTAAATGGAAATGTTGTTTTGATCGTTTCAGATTGCGAGATACAAGGCCCCATTCCACCAGTTGAGGATTCAGTATGGCACCAACAAAGGGAAGAACTACACGGAGGAGGAGGACAGGTTCCTGATCTGTATGCTCCACAAGATGGGCTTTGACAAGGAGAATGTTTATGAGGAACTGCGACAGTGTGTCCGGAACGCCCCCCAGTTCAGATTCGACTGGTTCATCAAGTCCCGAACTGCCATGGTACAGTATGTCCTAAACAGTTTGACTATCTATGTTACAGCTGTTGGAACGCTTGGGTGAGCAAACATTGGGACACTTAAAGTATTTGATATGACACCTGGGCTGCCATTGGGATAGTTAATGAACCCAGTTACAGTGTCTTAAGCCCTGTTTATACATGGTGCTAACATGCACCCTTTGTCCTGTTCTTGTCCACATTCTGATTGTGCCACATTTTTTAGACAGGTGTAGACGATTAAAAGGCACATTAAGATTAGGGCTGTGGCGGTCACAAAATTTTGTCAGCTGGTGATTGTCAATCAAATAACTGTCGGTCTCACGGTAATTGACCGTTAATTAACATAAACACATTTAGCATCTCCTGGCTTCCACACATAGCCTATAAGCCTATAGTCTCCTGAGTGCATTGCAGTGCTAGCTGTGCCACTAGAGATCCTGGTTCGAATCCAGGCTCTGTCGTAGCCGGCCGTGACCGGGAGACCCATGGGGCGGCGCACAATTGGCCCAGGGTGGGGTAGGGAATGGCCGGCAGGGATGTAGCTCAGTTGGTAGAGCATGGGTTGTGGGTTTGATTCCCACGGGGGGCCAGTATGAAAAAACAAACAACAAAAAAATAACATGTAAGTCGCTCTGGATAAGAGCGTCTGCTAAATGACAAATTTAACAAGTCTAATACAAAATAAATGTAATATAGCCTACACCTTCACAATAAATCCATTATTTATTTTAGACAGGTCTAAAGAAGCATGATTTGAAGAAAATGTAGTCTATTTCAGAAGAACAGAATAGCATACTCTGTTGTCCTTATGTTAGGTCCTGATCTGGCTATGCCAAATGGCTGTGGGCTACTAGTTCATTTAGCAGACAAAATTTGCTTAGAATTCAGTGGCATTATTTTATATTATTTTATAGTATGAAGAATACAATTGAACAAAGCTGAATAAAATAGAAAGGATATTTTCTCCAAACGATTTGAGGGAGTGCGCACATGCGGCTATTCTGTGTTGAGCGGTTAACAAAGAAATAGGTACTCCTATATGCTTAATTTAGAGTTATTAATGTAACTTTAGTTGTTCTACAAACGTTGGGCTATATGTTTAGATTTTTTATACATTGTAAGGCTGCATGATGCGACTAATGATGATTTGAAAAAAGTTGCTTGAAAGGCATGAGCTCTGCTTTGTTTTTTGCGCAGGCTCTACACACTTCATCAGTCTCTCATTCACAATTTGGCAAGCACTTGATAATGCCTCGAATTTCACGCCGGCATCCTCTTTGTGTGGACGTAATGCACCCTAAAAAAATCAATGCCTTTTGCGGCCAGTGGCCGTTGTGCCCCTTGGCCTGGAGTGCTGCGTGCTCCGAAGCACCTCTCACTCACATGGCACTCCATCACGTGATCGGGTCTTTCTCAAAGGGTACAAGTGAAGACAGACACATCGGGGGTGCAATGGCGCGCGTCCTTATCCAATTCCAAGGTGCATATTGAAGATATTGGAAGAACTGTCCACATTTACTTTTCATCAGCCAACAAGATGAGTAAGCCTAACGAACAGCAAAAGCACTAGCCTATGTCAATCTTCTATCCCCTATAGTACAAAAGTCGACCTATTCTGTGCGAGAAATAAATATTCCAAACATAGTCTGGGACAGTTGTGGGATGCGATAGATCCCAAATTAATATAACCACTAGCATCAAAAAACGTTTTGGCGCAATGTGGCTGACACAACAGATCAGAACGTTTAGCTTAAAATGTTGATAAACTATTAGGCTATTTCTTCACATTATAAGCGCAGCAATGTGCACGTGGCAGTAGGCTATAAGCGCGAGTGTTCCGTTAGCGGAAAAACACCATTATCAAAAGTGACCGCAAATGCAATTATGCATGTAATGCTTTTATTATAAAAGTGCATTTTTAAGGTGAAAATTATCTTCCCCCAAACTTGAAACTCGCACACTACTTATGTATGCCAGTTAGGTTCTACACCTCTTGTAAAGTGGATTAATGTGCTTAATTTTAAGAAGTTATTTGGCCGCTTTAGTTGTGATACAAACCTTATCAAAACATATTAGCCTATGGGCTAGGCTACATGAGGTGTGCGACTATGGTTAGAAAAAGTCACACAAACAAGGCATTGTTTCTTATGCTGGGCATCATTCACAAGTGATAATATATAATTCACAAGTTATAGGCTAATATTGTCACCCATCAGACTATTCTTGATTTAATCTTGTCTTTACATATAATAAATAATATGTGTGAAACTTAAATAGCGAATGGAGGACCCTTTTCCCGTGGTTCATTTTCATGCCAGCCAGGTAGGCTATACTCCTGTTGTAAAGATAAGCAATGTGCTTAATATTAGGAAAGTTGAGAAATAAATATAGTAGGCCTAGCCTATAGAAAGCTGATGGGATCCTCCTCTTTTTAGTAGAGGCTATCACTCTGTTTTCTCACGCAATTGCATAGCCTATAGAAATGTTGCGCATCATGAGCTCATGGGCTCTCATGAAGTGTTTGATTAGATTTTTGATTACATTTGCATTGATGTCAGTGATTAGAGGGATAATGGAGTGCTGAGTACCAGGCAGTTAGCAAGTTTGATAGGCTACTAATGACCATCAACAGCATCAGAGCTTGTAGAAGCCTAATTACCGTGACTAAACGGTCACATGGAATTTGACTGCCTTCATGACTGGCCGGTGTGGCGGTAATACGGTCACCACAAAAGCCCTAATTGTGATCTTCCTGACCACCTCCGGAGGTAGTCAGGCACGCATTGTGTCTGGATATCAATCAAGTATAAACAGATCTGGCTGGTCAAACCATTTAAATCATCATTATACCAGCTTCTAAACTCATTTGACAAGTAGCACCATTGACTTATGGCATCAGTAAAAAATAAATAAAACATAAATTCATATTATTTCAAAATAGTATGTCAAATTATTTGCATACAAGGAGGCTCTAGCTAATCTGGTCACAATGCGGCTACAGTGGACGGATAAGAGGCGACAAACCTTGATCAGATAGTGATTGGATCATATTGATCAGATCATGAAACGTACATGTTAGCGCAAGGTGTAAACGAAGCTTTGGTGTCCTACTCCTTCCCATCATAAAAACTGGTTTTATTACTTTTATTATAGACTTTGCAGTGAGTTCAGAGACAATCTTGTTTGGTTTCTTCTCACATTATTTATATTAGGTATGGCTGAATATAGAATTGTATTTGTTTCAATGTGTCCCTCTTTTACAAGTTGAGATGAATGGGAATTCATGGGAAGAAAGACTATTGTTCAGGTTCATACATCACCTGCATACATAGACACTTCCCTGCAAACAATAATGAGTCGTTAGGACGTCCCCAGGACATCACGAAATGGTCGCCTGAAGTCATCAGGACATTGTGTCATGGTCCCCTGGAGGTTTTGTCTAGTTCCTGGTTTGTCCCGGTGACGTCCCCAAAGAGGTTTTTAGGACTTTCATGGGCTGTTGGGTCATGGTCCCACGAATGCCCTCTGAACGTTCTTGGGACGTTGTGTCATGGTCACCTGGAGGTTTTTGTGTAGTTCCCGGTTTGTCCCGGGGACGTCACCTGATGGTCGCAAATAAACATTCTCCCCCCAAAAAAAGTTATACCCAGGGCACACGCACCCCAGTTACTGTTGCCAAGCCCATCAAGGCCCTGATTGGTGAACCACTGATCCAGTCACAGCTCTTTGTCTTTTAGCAGTGCTAGGGACACCCACACAGTGGTTTTAACATAGTGTTTTCAATGTACATATTTTACATACATGATTACATTGTGTATGTTTATTCATACAGTAATTATTATTTAACATGTCCTCACGTGGAATTTGAACTCACAACCTCTTGGTTCATGACATTCCGCTCTTCCTGCTACGCCACCATGTCTGTATCAATGACTGGTTTTACCTGTAGGCCTTTTCCTACACTTTAACTTCAAAGTAAGTCTCAGCTCTGTTAAAAATACACTGAAGAAAACTATTATACTTATCATAGTGATTCAGAAGTAACATTAAAACAATAATATGCCCCACCAACATCAGACAACTATACTGAAAACCCAAACTGAAATTGCTGAAATAAGTAAATGAAATCAATGAGCGAATAGTCAGGTTAACTGATAACTGAAATAGCAGTGCAGATGGCACTGTTTTGCTAAGTGCAGAGATGTGTTATAGGTAATGAATGTGTATGGGACTTCTGAAATTCTACAGACTTTGCGGCGCAGCAGAGCGAGCGATCAGCATACTCCAAATCCGGAGGTTGTGAGATCAAATCCCAGGTGTGGTCATATTGAAAAGTTAGTAGTGATCATGTCAAATGTAATCATATTGTAGTTGATTTAAGATTTTTACACTATTTTAGCTGAACAGCGTCCCACTTACCTTAAAACCCCCATACCATTTAATGGCTTTACTTAAAATGGTTTGGGACACCAGGGACCATCACGTGACAAAAACCTGCAGGGGCCAGGACACAACGTCCCACAAATGTTCAGGGATCCTTAAGCGGACCATGACACAACGTCCCAAGAACATCCTAAAAATGTCCCCAGGTCAAACCGGGAACTATAAAAAGGTCCCCCAGAGAACGGTCCCTTGGGACCATCACATAACGTTCTTAGAACATTCTCGGAAAAAAAAAAAAAAAAGTAAGTGGGATAACGTCACGCCAAAACCCTTAAGGGACCTAATGGGAACATCGCCAAATGTCCTCAGGACGTCCAATGTTTGCTGGGTTACCTCTCTGGGGTTATTTATCATTACTTTGTGTTTTTGACAAAGTGGTATGTTACATGAACTGTTTTGGTTATTAAAATGTCAATATTATGAACAAAAGCTGTAATAACCACACAAGAGGAGAATAATGAATAAATATAAAAAATGGTTTGCTTCAAACAGACTGGCTAACAGAGAGGAACAGCAGACATCCATTGTACTATCGTTTTGTTTTCTCTACAAACAGCTTCCTTTTCTTCCCCCAGGAACTTCAGCGACGCTGTAACACTCTCATCTCCCTCATCGAAAAAGAAAATATGGAGATTGAGGAAAAGGAACGTGCTGAAAAGAAGAAAAGGACCACAAAAAGCCAGATGGTAATTGATTTTACCATTTCAAAGCAATTGTATACAGATTTTACGATTTTAAGGTACAAAATGGGTTTAACCAAAAACACACAACCAATGGTTTTGTTTTTGGGGTAAACATTTTGTGGGAAGAAAAAGGCATATTGGCTAACCATCTTGAGGATTCCGAACCATGTTACCATGAAACATTTATCAATACTCATGTGTTAGAATATTAATATTTCAGTGTTTACGTACATTGTAACATTTACATGTAGACATGTAATTGATTTGATTCTCATGTCATTTGTATTCTAAGGCGCACAAAAGGAAGGCAGATGCGTCATCAGAAGCAACAGGACGCAAAGAGAAGAAAGCCAGAGCCTGAAGACGTCATTGAACTAATGTAGCCTCCACCAGGCCCAATCCTAACTTGAAAGATAAATAATTTGATAATTAGATTTATGACACAGATCTCAAGTTAGGATTCGGCCCATCATGAACAAACAGCATTAATCACCCACAAAATACAAACACAACATTCAATAACTGTAGTATTTTTTGTGGAAGTGAGTAGTTTCTAATTTTTAAGACATTTTGTATTACTCTTTTTGCAAGTGTTTGATGCACTTTTGAACTCAAAATGCTATATATGTATGTACGGATTTGTTTTGATTGTTGTCTCATGTCTTGTGTAATTGGCATGGTGGTGAAATAACAATTTTTCATATTTTTGCGTATGGCTGTTTTTGAAGCTATGTGTATGCACCTTACATAACCTATTGCTTTGCACATATCCTAAGCTCTTTTTTTTACTGATTTTAATTGAATCTATCCTTTTAAGCTGTGTTGGTATTTGAACAAAAAGTGATTGTTGTATTTCGCTTTTCCTGTTGTATTTTCTTATGTATGAGTTCAGTGTTATTAAACAAAATCCAACCTTAGTTATAAAGTAGTTTACATTTTTTGGAAGTAATAATTTGATATGTCTCACAAAATCCTCCTACATTATATTAAAATCACTAAACTAATGTAAAGGAAGCTGTGAACCCAACAGTAGCATATAGTATTACAAAAGGACCATGAGTATTAGGCACTACCTAGTACCAATACTGTATGTTGTATTTGGCACTGACTGTGATAGCATGTGGGACCCACATTTTTGTAGGCATAAAATGTGTTTGGTTCCCCTTTTAACAAATTCTACAGCAATAATCATCTTCACTGAGCAATGAGGTTGAATTTAAACTGCTCATGTGTTTTTGAGAGTGAACTCTTCGTGTCTCCATGGCCCAATTGTTAATAAGGATGAAGTTACACTGTATGTCCACATGGGGGCATTTTAACGCTGTCCTAGAATAAAAGGTGGCATTGAAACAGGGGACTAGTCTGAGAATAAGCTATATTCATCGTGTCATATAAATAACCTGTTAAGAAACCCAATATATTGCAAACCACCCTGCAGTAATGTTGATCAACTCGTTTTTTATTTATTTATTATTGTTTTCAAAAGAACACGCATACCGTTAATCCAATTTAAATAGAATTGCTGCTTCAGAGAGTGTGTAAGCTCTGAGACTGTGTTAACATGATCTGATGGAGACTGCAATATTAGCCCCTGCAATTTAACTAACAAACTCACAAACAACTGTAGGAAAACTGAACGTGAATCTCTGTAGCTTGTAGATCTGTAAGGTGTCTTCTGCCAGAGCTTCAAAAAGTATGTTGTGGAGCTACGTGTAGTCTAGTTATAATTAACACATTAACTGTGATGATCACTCAGGTGTGATAAATGTTAATAATGTTACTTCCTTCCTAATGCATGAATTATCTAATTATCAGTTAACAGTGATGTTCTCATTTGTCGTTTCAAATATTCTTTTTTTTATCCTGCACCAATTAGGAGCTTTAGTTTGTGTCACTTAGTTGTTATACACAATTTAAATTGTGACTGGTGACAACAGTAAGCCTATTTTAGCAGACTAAACGACATACAATGCATTAATGCTGAATAAGAATATTGTAGTTGCATGTATTATGTTTGGGTGCATTGTCAATCAATAAAATATTATACTGTGGGCTACTGCATCATCTGAAAGAAAGACAACCATTGTGTGATACACTGGCAATGTGTCAAAAGTAGCTTCTTTGTGCTGATGCATCTGATTCACTTACTTAAAGAGTGAGAGTCATTCTATTGTCCTCCTAGAGAATAGCCCAAGGTGAACTGTTGTCTTATAAATGCTTGTTGAGAAGAGGGGAGCCATGATGCATGACAGCCCTCATAAAACTCTGTCCCAAATCGTAGAGCCAGCCTATCTATAATTAAGAGATAATAAGGCCCTCTGAGATCAATTGATTAGAGGAAATAAAGGAGGCAAAACTGTATAAGAAAGGAAAGCAAAAACAACCTCTCGATTTCCCGGCTCTTTGACTGTGTTTCCCAGGTGAGACTGGGCTGATGAAACACAACCCAGGACAGGTTACAAAGGTGATGTTTTCAAGTTTATTTGGTTCTTGTCCCTGTAGATTGGTACTCGGAGATCATTCTCAGTCACAAAGATAATTTGTGTGTTGACATTAAGACAATTATATTATTGAATTGACTTCTCCAAAGATAGTCTTCATCTGCATTTTTCACAATAGGTGTATCAAAGTGTGAACATTCATCTGAAACTACACATTTCATACCAATTTAGCACTATTCAATAGAAAAATAGATTGTGTGAAATGGCCAAATTTGAATTAGAGTTGCCTTGTGGTAGTTTTGGAACGATTTACATTATAGGTGAAGAGATAACGTCTTTCATTTTACCTGGACCGATTGTCAATATTCATACAAAATAGACAGATATATATTTATTGATTGTTTGATCCACAACACTGATGTGAAAAATTAATATGTTTGTAGAAAATGCTTAACACAATTTTCTCCGTTTATTTATATGTCTGTGAGGAGGACACAATGTTGCCCCTCAGACTCTATTTGGCCAACTAAACACCCTGTGAACAGTACATGATAATAGCTTCTGTTCTCGCTGTTGGGTCCAGTAATAGAGGGGCCCAAAATTACTTGGCATGTCTCCAAGTCATTTTCCATCACCTGACGGCTGCCAGTCAGGTAATGAGAGATGACACCCTTTACAGCGCTAACTGCTGTCTGGTGAGAGAGCAATGTTCTACATATGGAAAGATTACTTTATTCTGTTTTACAACCCAATTAGCAATGCTAATGTTAGGTGTTTCATGAATTGTTTTCTCTTCCAGTGTTTTCTGCAGAACCTGTTCAGGACTAGAGTGACCTACTTGGACCAAATCACCTCACCAATCACTAAATGAACAACAGGATGGAAATAATCACCATTCCCACCCAGTTTTGATGAATATTGTTTATATTTGTAATTATGCACCTCATTAGGTTGCTCTAAGAAGAGCTTTATGCTGTCCACGCTATCGGTATGACCTCTAATATCACTTCAGCATATCGTTTTGATGCATGATAGGTGCCAAATCCCTGGGTAGTGGTTGACAGATTTACAGATTTACATTCACACATGACCCTATCACAATGCCCCAAGGCGACAGGCTATTTATTCCTTGTAGGGAAAAGGAAACCATTGTGCCCAGCTCTGTGTAGGCCTACTCTATCCAAGGTGCTGGTTGTGGAAAGAACACTAGGATGTATGGCATGTGCAGTGCTAACAAGGGTTGCAAAATTCCAGGAACGTTCAATAAATAGCCTGGTTTTCCAGAAATCCTGGTTGGAGGATTACGGATTTCCTGCTTATTCCTTCCTGATTCCGGGAACCTTCCAACTGGGATTTCGGAAAAAACTGAATTTATTGAAAGTTCCCGAAATTTTGCAACCCTAGTGCTAAGATAATCACTTGATTTCCAAGTAGTTAAATATGTTTTTTAACCGTATGTTGTTTCTATGTATATCACTTTGCCTATCATATCATTCATATAATTGCCACAGACGACATCAGCATGATAGCCAGCCAGCTGAGCGACAATGAAATAGAGAGTCTCTTTAAAGCCTGTAATTAATTCAGTTTACCATTCCTCCTACTCTTAACACTTGACACCCAGTCCTAATATCCTGTGGCCTTCTCTGCTGCTAGCTTGTCTCCCAGTGCCTTGCCACTATGCCTTAGTATAACTGTTAGTTCTGCTGTCAGAACTGCCTGCTGCTGCCTTTCTATTGTATTGTTCAGCCAATGCCAAGTACTTTTTCATCATCTCCATCTGCTTTCCCACCTACCCATGCGCTATTCTTCCAAACCCTCCTGCATCTTGTGATTCATTTCTTCCCCCGAATTGAAATACCACATACACCCCGTGGTACAGCCATACTATATTTTATCTAGCACAGCAAGTCTAACAGTACACCTGTTGACCAGCTCCCAAAGACCTTCAATAAGCCCCCCGCTGTTCTACTGTGTCCAAGCACATCTGGCCACCGCTGCTGATTGGAAATCGATCTGGCTTTATGAGAGCTGTGGATGTTTCACCTCTCATACGCTGTTAAAAAGTTTGACATGCTCTGCTGGACCTCCAGTTTTTAGATGGGCACAGCGACATGGTAAACAACTGGGTCACCTGTCACTTTATTTAAAAGAGAGAGCCCTGCATCCAATCTCACAGCAGATGTGTTCTAAGCTGAGGAAAGGGACTACTGTATTAAAGAGTGGCAGCGGAGCTCTGATTTTCTCCAACACCTGTAGAGGTGCTTGAATTAACCTCTGTATTCAGTCACACAGTGATTCCACTTCCCGGGGCAGGACATGGCCTAGATTACTCATTACAATCTAAATTACTCCCAGTCCAAGAGCCAGAATGGCATTCCCACTTTTTCTGCCTGTTAAATGAGCTGGAAATCCAATCTCACAATGTATTTTTGAGGTGGGAGGAAGAATGTATCATAACTCACTGTTCATTTCCTCAGATTTATTCTACAAAGAGACCGACAGAGACAGTGTCAGACAGAAATGAAATGTATATCAAAATACGGTAGAAAGAAAATTCTCTTTGATTTTCAGTTTTATGTAGATATACAAACCCATGGGCAGTAATTTCCAGTCTATTATGAATAATGTTTTTCAAGTGAAATGTAATTTTCTTACTTTTATCTCTACTTTTACAATAACAGAATAATTAAAACATAAGTTAACATATTGAGGTTTCTAAATACCTAATGTAGAATATTCAATTTAAGATCTTTCCTATTCCTAACTTCCAATTGATTGTGGACATGCAGTATAGTAGCCCAGATCCTGTATATATCCCAAAATGGCTGGCAGGTTGACTTCACCATGTAACATGTAGGCTACTGCTCACACAGAGCAAATCTGCTGTGACCATCAATGGGTGAGGTCATAGGGGACA